TCTATCTATTATTTTAATAATGTTCAAATAATAATATTGGGGTGGAAGAAAAACGGAAAGGGGGGGGGGGGGAATGGCATATCTCCGCGCCCAAACCGTTTGTAACACCATGGCCGTCTTCAGCTGACCGATTACAAAATCTTTGACTTTTTTCAAACCCTTTTCATGTGGCGCACTCCTTGGGTATATGGCAAGAAACCCACGCCTCCTGTAAGGATATGATAAGCCGACTTAAGAATTATGACGGGACGGCCATAATAGCCTTTTATGTCCAAGCATAGTTGACACTACAATCTGCTTTCTTTTAGCAGTTGTAGTTAACACATTACTATCTTGTTCAACTCACCTCGGTTATAATTGCCCCCCCCCCCTTCCCTCGCGCCCCATTTCATTATTTAATAATGCTTGTCATTTATTTTTGCTTTTTTACTATTGCATATATGGCGGAATAATTGTAATGGATTGTTAGGAGTGTAGATTATCGTTAATATATATTATTTTTAGAGTACTTTGTAAAGAATTATAAGTACCCGAGGCTATCTGTTTTCAAACAGTGTCCATTCATCTCTGTGATAAACCCCATCCACTTTTCTTTCCTCTCACAACAGGCCCATCTGTGTATATAACCATGTCACCTGGTGTAGATTTTCATTGCTCCGTTGTCTCTGATCAGGTATTCATTCCCGGCATCCTCGATAAAGGTATCTATCACTCTACGCAGGAATGTTTTGCTGGGCGAAACTTTGAGCCATTCTTCACCATGCGATATTTAGTCGGTATTATGAAAAGGATTACATCACCCACCAAGTGCCGACTGGTCTATAAAAATATCAGTCTAGCCCTATATTCCCAATAGACACAAAGGGGTGGAAAAGGGACTTTTATGAGAAGGAGTGGACTTAAGAACTTGGTAGCGACTAGTAATTGATGGACAAAGAGCAAGGTGAAGGTAAAGAGCTAAATACGTGGGTGGTATTGTCATATGGATGGGTTGAGATAAGAACACTGACCTAATACGTGATTCTGTTAATCATATCATGTGAAATAGTGGAACATGACGGCCTACGCTTTATCGGCACGGCACATAATGGGGGGGGGGGTGACCAGACAGACCTACAAACACTTGGTGTCACCAACTGGCAAGAGAGGGCCAACCAGAGAGATGAATGGAGGCGGGTTATATCTGCAGCAATGAACCTCAAGGGCTCGGAATGCTGAAGAAGCAGAAGAAGAAGACATGATGAGGGTGATGGTAATGATGGTGTTGTCCTACGCTTTCTGTCTAGTTTTAATTTGTAACTCCGCGGAAAGAAGAGTTCAAATGTTTCATCAAAAATATTGGTGGGAATCGGCTTGTTGTTGACATTGGACTGTCATTGGACAAGATGGCAGGCAGTGAGACTCAGCTCACTCAGCCGCATGCGATTGCCTAAAAAATGTCACTGTAAATCTAAACAGCCAGAGTCGGGAAAAAAAATTTAATATGCAAATGTAAAATTGGACGGAGAATTCAATTGTAACTAGCATTACCACAACTGGTAATGTTTAAGCCTAAAGCCAACCTCGAATTTACCGCTATTTTCAATCAAACTGATAGACTAACAGAAAAACAGAGAATGTCCGGCTGTCGTAGACATGCGCTGTTAATCGGGTTCCTTCCCGCCGTTTTCAGCTATTTAGAGTGGGTGAAAATCACACCAATGGCAAAATTTCATGAGAGATTAGGACCCATCCCGAAACCCCAGCCGACATTTCCGAAACAAGTTTTAAACGGTTTCTATGGTAACGGAAATTGTCGAAAAGATAGCAAATTTCCGGATCTGTGGTCCCTACGTACGGGGCTCAGGAATATCTCAAATACGGACTTTCTGCCAAGGAACAAATTGCGGCAAAACTAGGATTACTTGACAATATCAACATTGCACACAGTAGTAGCAGACGATAAATACCGACCGTTGACAATTTTTAGCGTTTCTGCAGACAATACTAGCAGACATTATTAGTGCCTGTTGACAATTTTGAGACTTTACAGACTATGAAAGCGATATGGCGGGTAGACCACGCGCTATCACGCACATCAGCAATACTGTTCGTCCGATTGAGGATTTAGCAGCGGTAGATGTCAGACCTGCCGACCTGTATCCTCACACTTTACGGCATGCGCATAACGCGATTAAACTTACCGCTGAGCTTGCGGCGCGGATGTAGGGGCTAAACTAGGTGCCTGGGACTCACAAGCAAATTAGTTGGAGGAAGTTGCAGGAGATGCTGTAGCTGTTACTCGTGAGTCCCAGCCATCTAGTTTAGCCCATATCGGCGCTGCGCGTAGCGGCGCGGGGGATACGGTCGGCGATGAGGCACAGTCACAGAAACCGGTCCGCAAGTAACATATCTCTGAGACCCTGTTAGAGCATTTGTTTCATTATACGGAGCCGGCATATTTTTAATAGAACTGAGCCCTGTACAGATATTTCTGGATATTTTATGGCCGCCATAATATTATGACGCCATTCAGAGGAGAGCCAATTAGTTTATTGAGTAAATACTGGCTATCCTCTGAATAACGGGCACATATTATGGCGGCCAAAAACACACCCTAACAGGGCCTCAGTCACATGTCAATTGCGGACTTTCGGCAACTCAAACTGCGAACTTCCAGCGACTGCCACCACCGCCGAGAGTATCTTCCACACCACTACGCGCAACGTAAAGCGGGGCTAAACTAGATGGCTGGGACTCACAAGCAGCAGCTACCGCATCTCCTGCAGCTTCCTTAATTTTATTTGCACGTGAGTCCCAGCCATAGTGGTGTGGGAGATACTCTCGGCGGTGGTGGTAGTCGCTGGAAGTTCGCAGTTTAAGTTGCCGGAAATCCGCAATTGATATGTGACTGAGGCCCTGTTAGGGTATATTTTCGGCCTCGATAATTTGGGACTGTTATTCAGAGGATAGCCAGTATTTACTCAATAAATTAATTTATTAAATTATATTATTTAAATTTAAAATGAATATTCATTTTTTTCTGAGGATAGCCCAGTTGTTTGTTTATTCAGCGTTTCAACATCATAGCACACGGGTGTAACCCGTAAGTGCTCCGTTCTACATCTAACTAAAACCTGAGTCTGAAGGTTCTCAGCGCAGTGCATGAACTCTGTTGCACCGGCGAGGATCCTGAAATACTTTTGCCCACGCCATTAGGCTACTCTTTTTTCAAACTCTGTCAAGTATTTTTTATGTGCACAACAATATACACTGGCATCCGGTCTTACTACCCAGAGACCAGGAAAAATTACTAAATGTCCAGTTGAAAAAATCCCAGCCTTCACCGGGGTTTGAACCCAGGACCTCCAGCACTCGAGGCGGATACCATCGTTGAGTTAGTTCAGTTATGAGAGACTTCAGAGACAAGTAGTACACTAGTAGTTAGTAATAGTGATGCTAGTGAAGTTTTATATATAAGTTTTTTACTTTTGAAACCAACACAACTGGATACAGATTAAAAAAAAAATATCCATCCAACGATACCTCAGTGAAGCCTGTAAAGTCAATTGTAAGCAGAGATATAGACATTTTAGTGGCAGATAGCACCATAGATAAATCTTCTTCTTCTTCTTCGCGTTCACCAGCTGTAAACTCTGGTGTAAAGTTCTGGTTGTTCGTCCACTTCTGGACTGCAGTCCTGTTCCAGAACCTGAGTGTTGCGTGTGCATCAGTTTTACAGATCTGATTCAATTGAATGCAGATCAGGCAGATGCACTCCGACTTCAAAGGAAGCTCCCCAGTTAGTCGACTCTTACGACATGCTTTTGGGGAGGCAGTGGGTCTATTCTTGTTTTCCCCACAATAGGGCCCCGGAACCCACACGGGGGCATAGATAAATGATAGTAGAGTTGCTAACTAATCTTCAAACCGGATGTTCATTAGACACCTGGTAATTATGACAAAAGTGACCCTTGCTCCCAGGTCAACCTATGATAGGTCTTGTCTTAGAAAATGGGTATCATGAAATGTCATGGAAAGTAAAGGCTGCCAGAATTATGCTGACCACATAGCTCACCAAGGGCCAGTTCATCATCATGTAGCAGGTCCTTTGCAGAGCGTCGCTCTCATCACGTTTATATGCCTGAAAGAAACTTAGTCTCACCGGCTCTCCCGCCTCACATACTTTCATACTCAAGGAGTCACTTATATCGTGTACCCATCTTCGTGTTGGTTGGCCCCTGTCCCTCCTTCCTGGTACCATGCCTTCTGCTATAATTTGTTCTAGTCTGGTGTGGCGCTTGATATGACCAATACTATTCCAGCCCCTTTCCATGTGCCAAATCACTCAGCCATCTTCCTAATCTACGAAAAGTACTTTACAGATGAATCTCTCATAAAAGCCAGACTCATCCAAAAATAAGAAAGTAGACTTTTGTCAGCTAACTGATAAGTCCAACTTTTTGAGGGGCTGATTAGCTGGCTAAGAAAAGTCTTTGTCCTTATTTTCCTATTCCAACTCCCACACAGTTCTGATACAAAGGTTTAGCCCACTATGTAAATTGGGCACAATTCATTTACATATTCGGATGAATGCAGAAAAAGAGAAAGATGACTTTTTTATGGAAAATTTACATTATCCTCATCATCAAGTGTCTTGCTGACTGGTATGGTTGATCACGCCCCTCCACATCCTGTGGTCTCCAACAGTATGTATTAGTTGATGTGCTGACATTCCTCCATGCCATGAAAAAAAGACTGTCAAGAATTGTTTTGTCGTGTCTTCATCTATCTCTCTCTCCATAAATCTTCACAGTAGTCAAAGCATGTTCAAGTTTCCCTCTTCTCATAACATGGTAAAAATGATGACTGCCTCCTTCTCATCATGGCTTTATGTAATTTGTATCTAATATTTTCTTTTACAAGCATTCAACTGATTGTCAAATATTTTGATAGTATCATTCATTGTAACCAGTTTCACTTAAAAAAAAAATATCTATTTTATTTAAATTACAGGCACCATGAAAAAAGCAAGATCCTTTGATTTCATGGCCATGTTCCAAGAAGCAAGGAAAACTGCCCTGGAAAGAACAAGTACAAATATAGCAGCTGCAGCATATACTGAAAAAGCTGGTAGGTCTTTCTTGCCAATGTTCTCAAGCATCTTTGCTGTCAGCATTTTAAAATGTTGGCTGCCCACCAGAAGTTGGAGAAGTGAATACCACTCTGTATCAGTGAGGTGAAAAGGCCACTGTAATTGCCATGCATATGGTTATCACCATCAAGGGCCCTGCCGACTGACATGAGCAATCATGCCTCCCAACAATCTGCGATGTTCAGCATCATGTATTAGTTTGTAAACTAACAAACCTCCATGCCATGGCAAAAGGCTGTCAAGACTCTTCTTGCATTGTCTTCCTCTGTCTCTTTTTACCACAGATCTTTCCTGTGTTCTCAACATGCTCCAGTTTCTTTCTCATAAAATGATCAGAAAAGGATGACTGTCTCTTTTTGATGTTTATGATAACTTGTTTCAAGCCCTCACCTCTTTCAAAATGTCTGGGTTGCCTTTTTTGTGTGGCTGTCCAATGAATTGTTATGCTAAACCACATTTCCAAGGCCTCAAGATTTTTTTTTTTTTTGAGTTAAATTAATTATCCAGGATTCACAGCTATCTATTAAAACTGTCCAAAAATGTGTTTATACTACAGATTAAAAATAAATCATCATCATCACTTAGCAGGTCCTTTGCAGAGAGCTGCTCTCATCACTGCATGTTGAAAGCCCGATCTATTCCTTGCCAAATCTCCCACCTCATGAACTTCATGCCCAGGGTGTCTTTGATATCGTGTATCCACAGTCCTGCTGGTCAGCTCCTGCCTCTCCTTCTAGTAACCATACCCTTCATTACTGTAATTTCTTCAAAACCATTAAAACAAGTCACAATAGACTAAAATATCATTCATCTTTTTGAAGTACTATTAGAAAATAATTGTTTTTTTTTTTTTTGAATTGATTGAAATAGCTAAATTTGCATTTTCACACTTTTTCTGTTAAGGGCAAAAATAAAATCCTAACCTGCACACCCCATGGTGGCGACCCTCGCCCTGTGGCCCTAAATCCTCTGACTCAAGACCCCTTATCCTACACAACCTACAAAAGTTGTAAATACAGGCAGCAAAGATAGTTTTTAGAACAATGTAAACAGCCAGTGGAAAAAAAGATCTTTTTCACCAGGAAAGAGAAAGAAGCTGAAGAAAGTTACTGTTAGACTACGCCTTGAATGTTTTAATAATTTATAAAACTTTCCCACTTCAGGATTGTTAATAGGCTTTAAAATTACACACACGCACGCACACACACACACACACACACACATGGACAGTACTTCTCTTACAGGTTGCAGATTCTTTCTTCTTTTTTTTCTTCTTCTTCTTCTTTTGTATTCACCCTTAAAAGGCGGTTGGCACATTGTATTGTAGTTTACAGCAAGACTGTGATATCTGTACTTTTGGCCCACTATAGCCAATTTTAGCAAACCTCTAATTAATTGCCTTTACGATATGCTTCCTCACATAGGGTAGTTTACCCATTTAAGTAAAACTCACTGGTGATTTTATGTCTTCTTTTTGCAGAAATTGAAGATAACAATGACAAAGATGGTAAAAGCAAGCCAGGACAGAATATAAAGACTCAGGATAGATTAAAAAAGAATTCTTTTTCAGAATCTCAAAGTGGTAGTCAGGCAGCAAATCTTGTTGCTGATTCAGCAGGTAATGCAGAGTTAGCAGAAAATAGTGATGAAGACATTGGTCCACCATTACCCCCTGGGTTTAAACCGATTTCCACTGCTACATCCAAAGGAAATTCACCTTCAGCACAGCAGTTAAAATCATCAGCCTCCAAGAGTAACTCAAGTGATAGTGAAGATGACTCTGATATAGGTCCACCTTTGCCTCCTGGTTTTGTTCCATTAGGAGATTCTGGATCACAGAATACAGGTGGTCAGAAAAGTAGTGAAAGAGCGCCTGAAGACAACAGCAGTGGTAATGTTAAGTTGACCCATTTAGCTGATGAAGATCAAGATGATATGGATGGAGAAGATGAAGACCCTGCCGAAGATGAAGATGAAGTAAGTGACTTAACAGTGTTTTTAAATCGTTATGTAAAACTTGAAATTTTATGTTGTTCAAGTTAACAGTCTAAACGCAGAGCGTATTACTAAAATAACTTTGAAGTTTTCATGACTGGATTGTTTTTACAAATGAGTGTAAAAATTAAACTTTTAAGATGTTAGTGTTTCTCCACTTTTGATGAAGAATTCTTCCCTCTTTGAGTTTCTGTGCACATTTGTATGTCAGGGTCGGTCTGTTTTCACAGTCATTCTAAATTTTTTTGGTAATTAAATGTTGGTTGGTTTGTTAATTGAGAATCATATAGAATCAAGAGAACTATTTCTCTGTCAGTTTGCAAAAAGTTTTCACCCAGTTATGTAAAAAACTTCAGTGAAAAGCAAATGGAGAAATCAAATGGATGTTAGTGCAGCACTTTGTCTCTCAGAAACAACCCTCCAGCCATGTAGTTCGCATTCTCATACTTCTAAACAGCAGGTTTTGCATTGGCTAAACATTGTAATTTTATAATATTGAAGAAAAACTGCTCTGGAGGATGATTTTAATTTAAATATTTTGCCATTAAGTTCTATTTGCACCGGTCAAAGAAAGGTAAATCTGATTTTCATTCTATCCTGGTACTGAATTACCATCTCCCAGTGTGGGTTCTGGGGGTCAATGGGGGAGGAAGGGGAGGGGAAGCCCCGCTTCCCCCGGCAAGTATGTGATAAAAGTCAACTAATTATGGGTGTTTACTTTGAAGTTCGAGCATATCTGCCTAGGAGACAAGGGATCAGTATGCATACAAATAAGCCAGATCTATAAAATTGATGTGCATGCAAAACTTAAGTTCTGGAAGAAAACTAAAGTTCAGAAGTGGACGAACAACCAAAATCTTTTACCAGAGTTTACAGCTGGTAAATGCCAAATAGAAGTAGTATGGAGATTGCAGAGCTTCCCTTCCCTCTCTGAGCTCAAAACAACCAACAGTGTACAAGACTCTTCTTCTTTTCATTCTTCCTGCCAGTGGTTTTCAGATGAGAAGGCCACAGACCTCTGTTATAGCTGTGTTGTGAGTCATGTCTGCTACTGATCCATACTGCTTTGTTTCCACCAGAAAGCCGACTGCCCAGACCTAGAATCTTTCTGCTGCGTTTAGAGAGCTTATCTGAAGCATTTGTTCAGTATTCTCGCGTACCTGTCCTCGTGCGCAAAGATCTGAATTCCAAATCTTGAATTTCCTATACATATGGCTGCAGAGTCTGTTTTTTCCAGTTTGTCTGTCTCTTTCATTTGAGGAGGTTGACTTCCGGATTGTGTTCTGGATGAGAAATGTTCCAAAGTGATGAGTTGATGCAAGAACTGACATCACAGCACTCAGAGCATTCCCATCAGCGCTGTGTCCCCAACTTCAGCAGCACAGAGTTAGCAGTCTGATTATCTGTCCATCTTGCTTTCCCTCTGAGCGTCGAGTATCGGCCAGATCCCCTCCTTATTCCTTCTGCATCACCCTCACCAGACTGTGATGATCAGTTTTCTGTTCCAAATTGTACAAGTGCTCCCATAAGGCCTTAACCACGTCTGCCTAATCTTGCATTAGTATTTCACCAAGTTGTTCAGACCCAGCCACTCTGTCCGCCTGTTCATTTCCAACACAGCGGTAAACCCCATTGGTTCCGTTGCTTTAAAAAAAAAATCACATTCAACTAGGATCCCTGAAGGGGGGGGGGGGGGGGGGGGGCTTTAGGTTATAATTATGACTAGGTTATGTGCACCATATAAAATGGCTTTGCATTGCAAGCCACCAAGAGCCCTGAAAAGGACTCTTGCAGTGTTGTTGCGATTAGAGAAAACAGACCCAAGTACTGACTGGCGACGAAGTCAGCTACCACCAAGTCACAGATGTGCCGGTATACCCCAGAGAAAAGATCCAGAAAATGGTTGCCTTGATCTGGGTTGCATTTTCCTCATAAGCACATGTGGCTTCTGGCTGCTCTGAATTTTTGCTAGGTAACATGCTTTTAAAGTCACCAGTGAAGAACTAAGAACAGTGGTATGCACAGTACTGGTACATGATTTCACAGAACATCAAAGAATTAAATGGTTTGGTCAAATAAAATCAGCCAGCAGCTAAAGCATACTATATGAGAACAGCAGACTTCAAAGCAAGAGGCCGACCAAGAAAGAGATGGGTGAAGGGAGTAAAAACAACACTGCATAAAGCTACACAACTATTTAAAAAATACAATAGGGAAATACATCTGACTCCTCTCTGCGTTGGTTTGTGGTATAAGCAGTAGGACAGAACAAGCTGTCCCGGTGTACAAGACAAGCGCTGAAACTTCACATCTGGTGTACCACCAGAAAAAGCCCACATCAGCAAACTCCAACCTAGGCTGGTTACGCGGACAGGGGTTTGAATCATTGCGAAACTCTCCTGTGTGTGCAGTTACCTTCATATTTGTCCCATGGCATGCAGGCGTTGTTGGTAATGAAAGTGCTGATAGACTGGCAGGTGCTGCATTTATTGAAGATGGCTGGCCCATGGATCACGCAGACATTGTCATTGCCCCTAGAGATATAGGATGTTTTGAGGATTTTGGAAGCAACATGTCCATATCACTGCTAAGAATGCGCCATTTGGGAGTAAAGATCGGCACAGCCAAGCATGAGAAGCACACCGGATGCCCACGAAGTCTTGTTAACCAGCATAGGACTGATACTATTAATCGCATGACGCTGATGAATATGTTGAGAGGGGAATCTGAGCGCCTGTGGATGTGTCCGGAGGGCTGTGAAGATAATCTAACTCATAACTCATCTCATAACTCCAACCCAATGCTCTAAGAGAGGCTATAAAGGTAAAGTTTGAAAATTATAATCATGACACAGCAAAATAATAACTAACAATTACTGGCTACACATGTTTTGCAATTATTTGTTTAAGAGTTAAACATAAAGTTAAGGGGATCAACTTCATTACACCAAGTTTTGTCCTTTATGGCTTATTTCCTCTCCGCAGAATGGCTGGCCACCTGCCAAGAGTATCACACAAGCACAAACTATGGCTCTAGTGATGATTCCAAGAGATCTCTGTAAAAATGCTATTCTTTAACTGAACTTTTATTCTTGGTTAACATTAAAACCATTATCTATTCTTTATTACATTCATGCTTACTTATGCTTTCAACAGAATCCACTGAATAAGATTCCCTCCAGTCATGAAATTGTTCTAGAACATGGCCACAAAACTGTAAGTATCTGACTGTGTATATTTTTATTTGGTAAGACCCAAGTTCAAATCTTTGTTTCCCCATGTGGGTTAGGGGGTTCCTGTTGTGGGGAATAAAGATCAGACCCACTGCCTCCCTAATGAACATATCATGAAAGTCAGCTGATTTTGGGTGTTTCCTTTGAAGTCGGAATGCATCTGCTTGAGAGGTGAGGAACCAACAGTCTGCATATAAATACACCAGATTTGTAAAACAGATGTGCAGGCAAAACTCAGGTTCTGGAACAAGACTTAAGTCCAGAAGTGAACAAACAGCCATAACTTCCCTGTATGAGTTTACAGCCAATGAACGCCAAGAAGAAGAGAAGAATCCTTGGTCAAATGATGGATTTTTTCCCCCGTCAGGGGCAGAAAATAAAATCCTAAACTGCCCATTTCATGGCGACTGCACTAGCCATACGGCTGTAAATCCTCAGGTTCAATACCCCACCCCCATCCCCTTTTCCTACGGTGTCCTAAAATGTGGTAAATACAGACAGTAAAGACAGTTATGACAGCAGACTAAGTTCATCTTAATTTTAAAGTACAAGGTTTTTCAAACACAAATTTCTCAACAGATGAACATAATCAAAGCTAGTGCTGTAGAATCAGAAGAATCATAAGAAAGATCATTTGAGTGTATCTTTGATCTTTCCAGAAGTCTTCTTCTTCGCATTCACCGGCTGTGGAAAGTTTTGGTTGTTCCTCCACCTCTGGACTTTAGTCTTGTTTCAGAACCTCAGCCTAGAAGTGAGTGACAGCTAGAACATTCCACCAGAGTTGTCAGCTGGTAAACACTAAGAAGAAAAAGAAGGGATTTGCTGAAGTTGGATATTGTGGGCAGAAAGGCACAAATATTGCAGCCTAGCTGTAAATCACAACACAGTGTGTCAACCGCTCTTCTCAGGGTGAATGCAGAAGAAGAAGAAGAATTGTACAGTTGAGCTTATTGCAGCATTTTTTTTTTTCATGTGACTAGCTGCTCTGAGAACAGAGAGGCCAAGCAATAAGGGATAAAACCAGGTGCAATAAAGTCAGTATTTTAACTTTTAAAGGGTTTAACTCTTTGGGTATCAAAGAACTTATCATGCACTCACATTTCTAATTAATAGTGACTGTCCTCTGCTACCGAAAGAGTTAATAATTTGGTATGTCTGACTGATTTGTTTATCCGTTTGCCTAGATCTCTGCTCTGGCTTTAGATCCCTCAGGAGCTCGTCTTGTGACAGGTAGCTTTGATTTTGATGTCAAGCTGTGGGACTTTGCTGGCATGGACGCTTCTGTGAAAAGTTTCAGATCCCTGAGACCCTGTGAATGGTGAGTATTTCATTGCTATCTCTGAAGCCAGTATGATACACAATCATTTGTGATGATATATATATAATAAGCTTCTTCTTGTCTTCTTGGTTTTAACCGGCTGTAACCTCCAGCAGAAAGTTCTGCTTGTTTGTCCACCTCTGGATTTCAGTCTTGTTCCAGAACTTGATTTTTGAGTGCACATCCATTTTACAGGTCTGGATTATTAGTATGCAGGCTGTTGGTTCCTCACCTCTCAGGAAGATGCACTCAAACTTTGAAGGAAGCCACCCTAATGGGTTGACTTCTACTACCTCTACACAAGCACGCATGCGCGGGCGTGCTCACACACACACAATGAAGAAATCTGAAGAACTGAAACCACATTTCATTCAAGAGCAGCAGATGAGATGATTAGACCATCTGATGGGAAAACCCTGGAACCAGCTGTCACAAAAAAGATGGGTAGGAATGAAGCTTTTCCTTCACAGAACATTTCCTTGAATTAATATTTGGCTGGATCGACACCAGGGAGCCTGTATCAGGCAGAATTTTGCCTCAGTGTAGATAGATTTGAATATATGACCACATGATTAGTGGTCAGCTGTGTTAACTGTTTTTCAATCATAGCAATAGTAGTACACACATGCCGTCATTTTAACTGACTCACAGAGGATGTTGTGAAAGGCGGAGATAGGCATGTTCCATGCAGAGTGGCAAGCATCACTTCAAAGGTCCTGCATAGTTAGCATCCTTTGGATATTTTTTCCAGGTCATGAGGGTGTGTTTGGAAATGAGCATGCAGATAGACTGGCAAGCTCTGCACCACTCGGTGGTAAACTGATGTATGACAAGCTGGATGTTGTGAGGGCCCTTTGGGAGCGAGTGAACAGTGCCGAGGAACAGATAGATCATTATGGTCTGAGGAGAATGGCACATGCGAGGAGTTACAAGGGGATCTGGCTGATGCTCGACACTCAGGGGAAAGGCGAGATGGATATACAATTAGACAGTTTCTGGTACCATCAGAATTTTAACTATTTGCCTGCTGCTAAAGATGGGGAAAGAGCACTTATGGGAGTGTCCAGAGTGCTGTGATGTCAATTCTTAATTCAACATTCAACAGCAACAGTAGTAAAGAGAAAGGCTAATATTAAAATGAAGCAAAGATAAATTTAGAATTATGTCATTCTTTAAATTACATACACAAATAAAGGACCCTTACTCGTGTCTTCAGGTGTATTGGGCATATAAGGCTAGAGCTATATTTTGTTGACCAGTTAGCACTTGGTAGGTGATGTCAACATTACGCTGGTGTCTTGTACTTTCCTGGACTTTGCCTGGTACCCACTCAAAGCTGGGTGGACGTGGTAGCAAAGATAATTTTAAAAAAATATGCAACTTCCTCTCCTTCGCGTTCACCAGCTGTAAACTGTAGCAAAAAAATTCTGGTTGTTCGTCTATTTCTGGACTTCTGGACTGCAGTCCTGTTCCAGAACTTGAGTGTTGTGTGTGCATCCATTTGACAGATCTGACTTACTTGTATGCAGACTATTGGTTCCTTGCCTCTCAGGCAGATGCACTTCGACTTTGAAGGAAGCTCCCAATTAGTCAACTTACGACATGCTTTTGGGTAGGCAGGGAATCTATTCTTGTTTTCCCTGTAACAGGGCCCCGGAACCCACATGTGGATATGCAACTCATTTTGAATTAAAACCTATGATCTTTAGATCCACAGCTGAGTGTCTAGCAGACTCACCACGGCAGCTCCAACATACACAAATACCATTGTAAAAATTATTGTTGACATACATTTTCAGTCAGTGTTTTTGTGTGTGTGAATCTACAGTCATCAGATCAAAGGACTGGAATACAGCATCACTGGTGACACTCTGCTGGTAATATCAGGCAACGCCCAAGCCAAAATAATCGACAGAGATGGGTTTGAGGTCATGGAGTGTGTCAAGGGAGATCAGTATTTGGTGGACCAGGCAAGCACAAAGGTATATGCTTTAACATCTGCTTGCACTTTGTGTGATTATATTTTTCTTTGTAGTCTACCAAGCAGTGATTATGTTTTTGTTTCAGAATTTGCTCTGTGTAATTATGTTTCTGTTTGTAGTTTATCAGTCGGTCATTATGTTTTGGTTTGTTGTTCATTAGTTGGTGATTATGTTTCTGTTTGTACTTTATCAATATATGATTATGTTTCTGTTTGTAGTTTATCAGTCAGTGATTATGTTTTTGTTTAAAAAGGTAAAAAGGTCAAGTAGGGAGATGTGAACCAGTGTCATTGCACACGGTTATAAACCAGAAGTGCTCTGCCACCAGTACTGACAGCTGATAAAAAACTGTCCGCCTGGGTCGCTGTCTGCATGAAACTCCGTAGCTACAGCAACATTCCTCCATTTACCCCAAAGTGTTAACTCTGGTACCCATTACCTAGAGGTTGGGTGAACCCCGGGAACTGCCTGGTTTCTAACACCGGGCGAAGGCTTCAGCAAGTCATAGCTGGATTTGAAAGCGAGTCTCTTATTGACTGAGCTAAAGCGGCTGAATGTTTTTGTTTGTAGTCTATCAGTCAGTGATTAGATTTTTCTTTCTAGTTTTTAATAGGTGATTATGATTCTGTTTATAGTTTACTAGTCAGGGATTATGTTTCTGTGTGTAGTTTATCAATCAGTGATTATGCTTCTATGTGTAGTTTACCAATCAGTAACTATGTTCCGGTTTGTAGTTTATCAGTCAGTGATTATGTTTCTGTTTGTAGTTTATCAATCAGTTATTATGTTTTTGTAATACATCAGTTATTGGTTACGCTTTTATTTGTAGTTTACCATTCGGCTCTACTTTCAAATTTGGCCGGTAAGCTGGATTGCTTCGGCTGGCTTAGCGGGGCTTAGTGGGAGTTATGTCCCCGTGGCCGCACTCAAAACAACTCAAAACAAGTCGTGGAAAAAGTCACGAATCAAATGGCATACTTACCTATCATCATCCGGTTGCGTGTAGGGTTGCGTAGGGTGTCTATCATCGTCCTACGGTTGCGTGTAGGGCTGCTTATTGCGTGTAGGTTGGTCTAGGGTTTAGGGTTTAGGTTTAGGGTTTAGGGGTATGGTTCGATTTGAAAATTTTCACGTAGGAGGTCGAAATAGTGGCCGACAATCTGACGTTTGTGGGAGTGGCGCCACTGAAACTCTGTCAAATATGACGCCAATAGCGGGCGGCTGGTGCCCAGTCGCTGGCGAATTGTCCCTGTTAGTAGCATCCACCGTCCGTCGACTGTTTGCACGTGCATACGACTGTGCGCGATTATAGGTAACTACAGCGTCATATTTGGCAGAGTTTCAGTGGCGCCACTCCCACAAACGTCAGATTGTCGGCCACTATTTAGACCTCCTACGTGAACATTTTAAAATCGAACCATACCCCTAACCCTAAACCCTAACCCTACCCCCTAACCCTACCCCTCATCTTACGCAAACAACCAACCTACACGCAATAAGCAGCCCTACACGCAACCGTAGGACGATGATAGACACCCTACGCAACCCTACACGCACCCGGATGATGATAGGTAAGTATGTCATTTGATTCGTGACTTTTTCCGCGACTTGTTTTAAGTTTGGCGAAGGGACATAACTCCCACTAAGCCCCACTAAGCCGGCCGAAGCAGTCCAGCTTACCGGCCAAATTTGAAAGTAAAGCCTACCATTCAATGATTACGCTTTTATTTGTAGTTTACCATTCAATGATTGTTTTTATTTGTAGTTTGCCATTCAATGATTATGTTCCTGTTAGTAGTTTACCAATCAATGATCATGTGTCAGTTTGTAGCGTTTCAAGCAGTGATAATTTAGTTCAATTTGTAGTTTAAAAATCAGAAGATTTAATACGATTAAAGTAGTTTGTAATATCATGTCACTCTGATAGTATTTGTTAAAGTAATGTGTGCCACTTTCACCTGTAGAAGTCCTTAAATGGGCACTAGTTTGAAACATTGTCTGTTTTACCAGAACCTGTGTTGCAAGGAAAAAAAAAATAGCACTCTATAGACTACCATATCTGTCACACAATCAATGGTAGTTTAAACAGATTATAAATTTTGCCACCTGATGAGAATGTCCTGGTACCAACTGCCACAGAGAGCCTCGCTGAAGAAATATAATGAACAAAGAGCAAGAGAAAGACCACACAAGATATGGAACGACATCATCAAGAGCAACCCCCCCCCCCCCCCCCCCCCCCAACACTCTTCCCCCCCCCCCAAAAAAAAATGACCACCTACTGTACAGTGCATTGGAAAAAGCGCACAAACAATCTTTACATCTCCCTCAATCACCTCGCTGAGGTAAATGGTGGAAGAGAAGAAGGAGAAGAAATTTTTTTATTGTTTCACATTCTCCATTCCCTGCTGCTTGCCTGCAAAAAAAAATCCAACCGTTCATAAAAAATCTACAAAAGGCTATATGTGAGTTAGCTAATGACCTCTCTTCTCTGTTGAGAAATAACAGGCAGAGGGACAGGAAATATACTTCTTGTGTTCATAATTTTTTTCTTGTTTTACAGGGACACACAGCATCTCTGAACAGTGGCTGCTGGAATCCAAAATTACGAGAAGAGTTTCTCACCTGTTCTAATGACTGGTCAGTCCAACATCCATTCTTTTTGGTTGATAGTTTGTCTAGAATGTTTAGAGACAAAAGTGCTGTTTTTTCTTTTTAATCTCCTAGACCTGTAAATCTGTATCCAGCTTTATAATTCTTAGTTCACCATGTGAGTCCCACCCCCCCCCCCCCCCCCCTTTTCCGATCTTGGAGGAAGGGAGGGGATGGGGTGGGGAAATACACCCACTACCCCCAAAGCAAGCAGATGGTAAAAGGCAATTAATTAGAGGGTTTTCTGAAATCAGATTTGTTGAGCCAAAAGGCATGGATGCCACAGCCTAGCTGCAAACTACAACACATCGTACCAACTGTTTCTTTTTTTTTTTAAAGGCGAATGCAGAGGAAAGGAGAAGATCATTCAAAGTGTATCAGTAATTAGCTACTTTTAATATCTTTCACATCTACTTTCATGCTATTCTTTCTTAATCTGTTATGTACCTTTTTGTAGTAGTTAACTATATTGAGTTATCTAAGATCCAGGAAGCTTGGATGAATTTTAAAATGTCTTTTGCATTACAGTATAGGGAGCCGCCATGATGTAGCAGCCAGATGTTTGCCTGCGGATCGGAAGGTCGGGGGTTTGGGTCCTGATGGTACGGGACTTTTTTTCAAAAACTGACTTTGGCTCTCAGGTCGACCCAGCCTTTAATGGGTAGTAGGTGGAGTCCTGGGAAATAAAGGTCACCAGCGTAATGCTGACCACATCACCCACTAAGTGCTATTTGGTCTGTAAAGTATAGGTCTAACCCTATATGCCCAATACGCTTGAAAGTGTGGAAAGGGTTCTTTACTTTTACTTTACTATCACAGTATAGAGACATTAATTTCAGAAATGTGGCTGCTATATAAGTATAATAATTTAAACTGAATTAATTACCTGTGTTAATAAATGTATATTACCCATGTCTAGAGTTTTGTGTTTTAAACTGTCAACAGCACTCTTCGTCTGTGGGATATCAACAAACAACAAAAGCATAAAAATATCATAAAGACCAAAACTGTAGGTGGACGAAAGACAGTGCCTACAGCATGTACCTACAGTAATGATGGACGCTACATTGTGGCAGGCTGCAATGATGGTTCTATCCAACTGTGGGATCACAGCAAACACTCTTTTGTAAGAATTTGTAGATTTTTTCAATATGCTTTTAGTGAGTTCATGTTTGTTTGTTCTGGTGCATACTTTGCCTGCGATTTTTACACTATTTCCTGATAAGCTATCCAGCTGAAATTTTGCACTCACATACTTTGTGGATGATATTGCTATGTAGCGCACACAATTTTTGTAAAAATTATTGTGTTATTGTTAATTTTGGAGATAAAAATGTTTATTGTCATAAAATAAAAATAATTTTATTTCAAGGGAAGTAATCTGTGTATATTTTTCCTTGGGATCTAGTTAATAAATTGACCATTAAAACATTGCTTTTGATGTTTTGACTATTTTATGATAAGCTAGCAGGCTTAAATTTTGCTCAAATGTGGGTTGTTGATGGGATGCAATATTTTGCACAAATATTTGTAAATATAGTTTTTGTGGATAATTATTTTGTTAAATATATGGTATGTTTATATGGTAGACTGTTTCCAAATGAAACCCATATAACAACAAACAGTTTTAGGTTTACTACATCCTTAAATTTATTGTCAGCTTACTCCTCGTCCTTTTTGGGATGAAATTTTTTGTTATTTGAAGCCCTACTCTGGCTCTTACCAGGGGCCGCAATATAGCCTGGCCAAAAATATGGCCTAAAGGCTGAACGCGGTTTCTGGGACCTCTCCACGGGTGATCCTCACCCACATGGTGGTACTTTGTGTCATCGGGTGTTTATTGCTTGTGTGATGTCCTGGTGGGGTAGAAAGTCAGTCAGTCAGTCAAATTTATTGTCTTAAACAAACATTAAGGTCGTCCCCATGTGGACACAATTTTTTTGTAATTTTGAAGCCCCACCCTGGCTTTTGCCGGGAACCACAATATAGCCTGAAGGCTGAACGCGGTTTCTGGGACCTCTCCACCGGTGATCCTCAGCCACATGGTGGCACTTTGTGTCACTGGATATCAATTGCTTGTGTGTTGTCCTGGTGTGGGGTAAAATTTATTGTCCCGATATGGGATGCATTTTGTTTTTTTTTAAAGCCCCTCCCCAGCTGTAGTCGGGAGCTCTAATATACAGGGTTTCTGGGACCTCTCCCTGGGCCATCCTCATCTGCATGTTGGCACTTTGTGTCACCAGGTGTTTATCGCTTGGTGGATGTCCTGGTGGGGTTGAATCTCACTCACTCACTACATCCTTACCCATACACTGCAAGTAACACTGGGCTTGGTGCGGCAGTTACAGGTGCCCATATATAAAAATTCTTTAGAGGTTGAATGGGTTACCTTTTTAGACACTATGTAAGACCTTCAGGTCCTGTAGGTCTGCCACCAGCACTGAGACTTTTTTTTAGACACTATGTCAGATCATCAGGTCCTGTTGGTCTGCCGTCCAGGTTGAGTTGAGTTAAGAATTGACATCACAACACTTGGGCATTCCCATATGGGCTCCGTCCCCATTCTCAGCAGCCAGCGCAGAGTTACTAATGGTGCCGGTCGTAGTCTGGTTGTATGTCCGTCTTGCCTTTCCTCTAAGCTTAGTGTGCCGGTTGAACCGTCTGGTCACACCCCGGTGCATCATTCTCTTCAGTCCATTATAATCTAGTTTCTCTTCTGACTTTGTTACTTGTTCTCAAAGGGCTCTGACCACAGGTGAATTGGCATGTATCAGTTTACCACCCATCAGTGCAGATCCAGCCAGTCTGTCTGCCTGTTCATTCCCCATCACACCGGCATGGCCTGGAGAAAAATCCAGATTGAGAGTTTCAGATCTCTGGGTGTCAGACTGTTTAGATAGAAGCCCGGTGGAACTAAACAGCATGCACACACTCTTCTGAACTCTCTTACTAAACTTTCCCATCCCCCACATTGGATTGCAGGGAACCTTATAACCTCTGGGGTATCCTAATATAACCGCTTTAGGAGGTTGAATGGGGTTCGCTGATTTGCTTCCTTGAGGTGTTAATCCTGCAGACAGAAATCCTAAATGGGAACAACTTCACTGACTGACTCTCTCGTCTGAACTAATGTTCACATTATTAAGAATAATGTAATCCTATAGTTTATTGGACACAAAAATGTAATTTAGTAATTTATTGCCTTTCCATACTTCATTTACTGCCTTTCCATTCTTCATTTACATTTTTATATTGCTTTCTTAATTTACACAGGTAAATGTGGCAATGCAAAACAAACATGCACATGGAAGTCAGTCAGATATCACGTGCCTGAGGTTTTCTTATGATGGCACTACATTGGCATCAAGAAGTGGTAAGTACACTAGTCTGCCATGTGGCAAATACTTATAACTGGTAATACAAATTATAAGTTAATTGCACTTCCAGCTTCGTAATGAATGTAAAAAGGACCCTTTTCCACGCCTTCATTTGTATTGGGCATATGGGTTAGACTATATATTTTATAGACCACTGGGCACTCGGTGGGTGATGTAGCCAGCATCATACTGTCACAGTAAATGGGTCACCCCATATTTGCTACATTCCTGTGGCAGTGAAAACCACACAGAATGCCTGTTGCTGTTCTTTGTTAGAAAATTGACACTGCAGTCTTGGCAAAGCCAGCAGCAGACACACACATTAAATACATAAGGCACCTGTCAGAAGTGCCAACACAAAGTTCATCATTAGAATTACAGTTCATCATTGAAAGAAGCAGTAGTTACAGCAGAAGGGCAGTTACACACATATTATCACATAAGGCGCCTGTCAGAAGTGCCAACTCAAAGTCCATCATTAGAATAACTGTGTTCATCATTTATAGAAGCAATAATTACAGCAGATGGTCAGTTGCACACACAATATCACATAAGGCGCCACCAATTCTGTGGCAACAAAAAATGAGAAGGCTAGTTGCATATGCTTAACCAGAGCTTGCAGACCAAGCCTCAACATTTTTTGGCTGTTGTGTTTTTTTTTATGGGCACATTTTACGTTCAGTAGTTTGACATTACTTTTTTTGAATGGTCAGCTCTTGGTACCACTATCGAAACCAACACAAGACGAACCGCCCTCAGTTGGGATCAAACCCAGCACCCCGACATTACCAAGCGCATGAGCAACGCCTAAGCCACAGACGCAGACGCAACAGAACAATCTAAATTTTCTGAATCTACTGTTCATAACACAGACCACAGTCAAAAAGCACCTCACAGTGTCAAGGCGTGCACTCAGCTCAGTAGCTGGACAGCCAAACTAAATACTATCCATCCACATATGGAAAAAATGCAACAGCTAACCACAGCTAGAAGTAAACACCTTGCCAGAACTTAAAAGGTGCGGGTACGCACCTCAGACTGTCTAAAATAGGTACCGGTACTAATCATAAATGGTCTTTTATAGTAGCGCTAAAAATTATGCCTAAAAAAGGGTTCTGATACTGTCTTAACCATATCAGAGTACAGGACCCTTTTCATGTCCTGGGCACTTTGAATTTGTAGAAATAGACCTATATTTTATAGATCATTTGGCACTTGATGGGTGGGTGATCAACATCATGTCGGTCACTTTTACTTCATGTTACATTACCTGGTACCAATTTTAGTTTACCAAATTGTTGTCCAATTTAAACCTACATAACATTGTTTTACAGGTGATCAGACACTGAAGCTGTGGGATCTTAGAAAGTTTCAACAGCCTTTGGGAACAGCCAGTGGTTTGAAAAATTACTTTCCAATGTGAGTCACATTCTCTCACTTTCTCTTGTCCTTTTTTCTGCTTGTCTCATGCATTATGTGTTGCAGTTCCATTTTCTGACACTGAGCATTATTTGAGTTGTGTTAAGTTACAAATTGATATCATCACAGCATTTCTTTCATTACCATAAGTTTTCCATCCCCATCTTCAGCAACCAGAGAAGAATTTCGGTTCCAATGTTTTTTGATCAGATGTCTTTCCGTTGAGTGTTGGCCAGGTCCCAGGTCACTCCTGCTGGACCATGCTTTCTAGACTGCATCTAGCTTGTCATGGATCAGTTCACCCCTGATGTTGCAGAACCAGCCATTTTATCTGTCTTTTTATTTCCCAACACACCTAGAGACTCTGGAGAAAAGATCCAAAGGATGCTTACTACCTGGTACCTCTGCATTTATGCCTGCCACGCAGCATGAAGTATGCCTATCTCCACCTTTCTCGGCTTGCTTTATGAGTCTGTTACAATGACAGCATGTGTGTGTATCCGGTTGTCAAGTCGGTGCAGAGCTGCTCTGACTGCCCCCCACCTCTATTCTCAGGCTAGATATTGTGGAATCATAAGGTAGGCTTTCTTGCACTAAACAACATTCATTCACTCTTGCAGAAAACTCCCATGCACTTTTTCTGCTTCTTAACACAGAGCCAACTGTATAGACCAGTGTTTCCCAAACTTTTCTTAGTTGCGGCACTTTTTTCAATTAAAATTTGTCCACGGCACCCTAACCTAAGTAAAAGTATGACTATTTGTATGTAAGAGGTAAAGAAAAATATATTTTGCGGAGCCCCTGTGAAGAGGTCGCGGTTCCCCGGGGTGCCGCAGTGTGCAGTGTGGGAATCACTGGTATAGACGATCACATCACCTTGATGGGAATTTTGAGCATTATTAGTTCCTCTCAGAGAATTCATGATTTCCTTTACTTCTATATTTTGATTATATTTATTTGTGGGCAGTTCACCACCGTTGGGCTAGGTCTGGCACTCAGCAGCTGTCAGCATGTGACAGCAACCACCCCCTGGGCAACAGCTTTGATGGGATGGCTAAACCAGGAGAGGGAAGCCGACCTGGTTCTAAACCACTCAGTGATTGGGATAGGCCTGCCCTGCATGCAAAGACTTGGCTGATTGTGCGGATGAAATCTTTTATTGGTTTAACGGACAAGAACGCGTTTATAAGCAGAGTGTGGAGAGCTTCGAGCAAGGCAGGGCACTTAAGATGCCTTGGTCATCCACTGCACCTAGGTCCATTTCCAGTCGTCTTGACATTGTCCTGCCATTGGATCAAGATGGATACAGACGAGAGAGTTAGGTCGACAAATTGTGCAGCTCTTCCTTGCTTAAATCCAAGTCACTTTCTCATCCAGCTATCACTTTGGATGAAAGTGGTCTTCATCACTCGCGATGGACGAACGACATATTTTTATTACCACATTAATCTTCTATTTGACAGGACTGACTGTCTGTTTAGTCCAGATGATAGACTACTGGTGACAGGGATCTCATTGGACAAAAATGAAACTGAAGGGAAAATTGTGTTCCTGGACAGGCAGTCATTGAAAGTTGTCAAAGAGATGCACGTGTCTAATTCTGTAAGTTTACAAATCGGCGGTTGTCAAATAATTATAAATGTCCTTATGGACCTGTAATATTTAAGTCTCTCTGTGTTGATTTATTAGTCTTGTTATTTGTATAAGCCTGTTGCCAAGATAAACTGTAATTTTCTCCAGAAAACTGAGAAAATAGTTATTTACAAGCCTTGGGGGTAGTATTTCTGTAGAAAACTGACAGAAAATAACCAATCAACTTACCTTAAAGTAGTATTTCTGCAGAAAACTGAGGGATGGCAGCTGACGAAATTGAGCAGTACTTCTAAGAAAACTTTCTACAAAATAGCTAACAATTTACCATGCTATAAAATTATCCATAAAACTGAGACAAGATACCTAAAACCTGACTTTGTAGTAACATTTCTGCATTTAAACTAAGAGAAGATAGCTGACACCTGACCTGGAAAAACATTTCCCTAAAAAAAACGGAGAGATGATAGCTGATAACTGATCTTGGAATAATATTTCTCCTTAAAACTGAGAGAATATTACTAACAGTTGACCTTGGAATGACATTACTCCAGAAAACTGAGAAAAGATAGCTAATATCTGAGCTTGGAGTAACATTTCCTTAGATAACTGAAAGAAGATAGATAACAACTGATCATGCCTCATGCTGCAAAGGTCGTGAGTTAGTTTTACAGACTGCATTATTCAGTTCACCAATGCAAAATCATCACTGAATCTATGGACTTTATTTAATGCTCTCAGTAGACGGTTAGCTGGTTTTGTATTTTGCTGAAAGAAACCGAGCTAAATGGGATAAAAACTGGTGCAATGAAGTCAATCCTCTCAACTTTAAAAACCTTAAATTCATTAAATCTTTTCATAATGTATCTGATGCAGAGTACAGTTCGTATCCTGTGGCATCCAAGACTGAATCAGATGGTAGTAGGCTGTGGGGATGGAAGCGCTAAGCTGTACTATGATCCACAGAAAAGCCATAGGTAAGTTGACTCATTTATAGAAGAAATTGTTTTAAAAAAAGCTGATAAATGTTATAGTTAATGAAACATAATACAAACAGTTATTATAATTATGTGGACATTATTGCCCATTTTACAAAGAAAGAGAAGGATAATGATTTGATGATGTGAATACAACACATGCTAGTAAAAAGGAAACTGAACAAAATTCCCTAATAATTTCTTTACCTAATAAAGGAAAGGAGTTTCCCAGATGTTAGGTAGAGTCCCTGTTAGTCAGTAAAGAACCCTTTTTCAAACCATTGGCTATATTTTGAGACTTTTAAAAATTTGAAGCTTTTACTTCCCAGAATATTTCCTAGTGTGTTTGTTTTCGGCTGGATGGGCCTATGAGTTGAATCAGATTTGAAGTAATGTTTGCCTTGTTGATGATTTGAATACATAACCACTAGGCCATTTGAATTATAGCAAGGAGTGAATCTGAGAGTTTGTGGATTTCTTCTGCATGCAGGGATGATGATCTACAACATACTGCCATCATCATTATATAATAGGATGGGAGACTATAGAGACGCTTGATTCTATGATGGAAATGAATGTGAAATATTGATTTGCTTCTGTATTTTCAGGGGTGCGATGCTCTGTGTCATAAAGAAGGAAAGGAAAGTCAAACAGGCAGAGATTATGGCAGCTCAGAATATTATTACACGTAGGTTACCTTTTTTTGGGCCATCAGAGTTGTTGATGGGGCTGAAATTTATACACTGTCATTTCTGTTCTATTATTTAAATTCTGCTGCTAGAGTTTACATTTGTCTCTTTATAATTCTGTGTGAAAATCACATTTTTTTAGATTTTAGTCGCAATGATTGAATAGCTTTCTAACAAATACTCTGAACATGCCAATGTTCCAAATGAATTAATGCTGAATGCACTGATTGTGAATATATGTGTGCTGTCATAGCCTGTGATTATGGCTGTATCTGCCACAGTTGCTTCCAGAATTCTCCATTTCTGAGACTCAATGTTATTATCCAGAAAGGCTAACCTGGACAGCAAACAAAATTTCCTAAAGAAAGTTAGTTGGATGTGTTAGCCAAAAGGCACAAATTAGTTGGATGTGTTGGCCAAAAGGCACAAACTAGTAGGATGTGTTAGCCAAAAGGCACACATTAGTTGGATGTGTTGGCCAAAAGGCACAAATTAGTTGGATGTGTTGGCCAAAAACCACAAATTAGTTGGACGTGTTGGCCAAAAGGCACAAATTAGTTGGATGTGTTGGCCGAAAGGTACAATTAAGGCAGCTATACTGTAAACAGGCACTATCCTCGGATGACAGAAGAAGAATGTGAATGTTATAGCTACATGTGTGATTGTTTCATCTTCCAGTTTGTGGTGATTGCATTAGCCACAGTTTGTGGTGATTGCATTAGCCGCAGTTTGTGGTGATTGCATTAGCCGCAGTTTGTGGTGATTGCACTAGCCACAGTTTGTGGTGATTGTATTAGCCACAGTTTGTGGTGATTTCATTAGCCACAGTTTGTGGTGATTGCATTAGCCACAGTTTGTGGTGATTGCATTAGCCACAGTTTGTGGTGATTTCATTAGCCACAGTTTGTGGTGATTGCTTTAGCCAGTTTGTGGTGATTGCATAAGCCACAGATTGTGGTGATTGCTTTAGCCACAGTTTGTGGTGATTGCATTAGCCAGTTTGTGGTGATTGCATTAGCCACAGTTTGTGGTGATTGCATTAGCCACAGTTTGTGGTGATTGCATTAGCCACAGTTTGTGGTGATTGCATTAGCCACAGTTTGTGGTGATTGCATTAGCCAGTTTGTGGTGATTGCATTAGCCACAGTTTGTGGTGATTTCATTAGCCACAGTTTGTGGTGATTGCTTTAGCCAGTTTGTGGTGATTGCATAAGCCACAGATTGTGGTGATTGCTTTAGCCACAGTTTGTGGTGATTGCATTAGCCAGTTTGTGGTGATTGCATTAGCCACAGTTTGTGGTGATTGCATTAGCCACAGTTTGTGGTGATTGCATTAGCCACAGTTTGTGGTGATTGCATTAGCCACAGTTTGTGGTGATTGCATTAGCCAGTTTGTGGTGATTGCATTAGCCACAGTTTGTGGTGATTGCATTAGCCACAGTTTGTGGTGATTGCATTAGCCACAGTTTGTGGTGATTGCATTAGCCACAGTTTGTGGTGATTGCATTAGCCAGTTTGTGGTGATTGCATAAGCCATGCAGCCCTTGATCCTCAGGCTCACAACCCCCACTGCCATAAAAAGTAGTAAATACAGGCAAGATGATAAAGTTTTTTTTTTAATTACAAAAGATTGAACAAAATAATGAAGCTATTGAAACAAACTGGTAAATTATTATCTTCAGTTCAATACAAATAAATAATATTTACTTTGTTCCAAACATAAATGCTCTGATTGCCTCCATGATAAATCCATCTTGTTACAGTCGTTAATTATGGTATCATTTATTATGCATACATTAATGCTTGCATAATTGAATAAATAAAGAAGGCATGCGTGATGTATTTATGTGAATATAAGTCAAAACTGTAAACATAGACTGGAAAGCTTTCAGTGAAAAGATCCAGTGTTATCTCCACTGTGAAGATTGGCTGCAATGGATCCACCCAGTACACTGTTTTGGTCTTGGTGTACACTCTTCTCATACCGCTGTTCATACATCTCTTGAGGCTATCCTCCCAACTGTATTAGTGTTTACCTCTTGTTCTAGACTTTTCTCTCCAGTATAGTCTTTAAAGAAGAAGAGGAAGGCCAAAGAGAAGATGGGTACAGGATGTGGCGGATGATCTCCAGATGCGTGTACCGGACACGGAACATCTTGCTTGTGATCGAGAAGTTTTCCAGAGGGTTGTTATGGAAGCAAGGTTCTGCAAAGGACGTGCTACTGACTGATTGATTGTCTTCAAAAAAGTGTTATGCCTTTTTATGTGGCCAAAACATTTCAGTAGTCTCTTTTTATTTCTGTTGCCAACCCTCTTTTCATTCCCAGTCTCTTCAGAACCTGTTTAGTTGATTTAAAGAATGTTTTCCTGGCTACGACCTGTTCTTCTGTATATGGACATCTCTATAGACTCCAGTAAATTTCTTCTAGTTGCTTGCTCGTTGGTTGGGTTTCTGCACCATACACTCGGGCTGAGTCTAGCCATTCATGTTTGCCTACATTAAAACGTTGACCTGTTTACTCATTGTCTGTGTTATCATTGATGCTGATGTATTTTTGTCTTCCACAGCCTACGCACTTCCCATGTTCAGACAAGGCAGGCCAACAAGTACAAGAAAGCAAGAAGAAAAAGTGAGGAAAGACCCGGTCAAAAGTCATAGGCCTGATTTACCAGTGATAGGTCCAGGTGAGAACAGCATCCTATACTATAGGCATGATTTAGATCTCAGAACTTTAGGCTGGGAAGGAAGGGAAGAGACATTTTATATGTGGTCTTACAGTCCTCGCAGTGTGGCCTGACAATAATGTCTGTCTGCAACTGTCTTCCTTGTGAACTGCCAGTCATTTCCAATGCAGATATTTCTCCATGTCATCTTAGTATTTGTATGATATATTCCAGTTTTCTTCTCATGACATCCCCAAAGAATATGGATTGCCACTTCTGCTATGGGTACTGAGTCCTCTGGGGATTTATACTCTAAGGGCATCTTAATTAAGTTTGTTATGCTGAAAATCATAAGTAAGACTTCAGTAACTGATACTGTGAAGAGGCTTCAAATTAAAACCTTAAAAATGTGACAGAAATGACAATAACCATGCCATCATTTTGTAACCAGTCAATATTTTCGTTAAGGATGTCAAGAGTGTTAAGCACCTAACATCATAATGACAGTTTAAAGATAGCCACCCCCTTTTGATATGCAGCAAAGAACAGCAGCGTTCTGTTATTTGTTTTTTTTTTTAAGCAGTGAAGGGGTGAAACCTACAGAAATTCATTGACGAATAAAATCCAGTATGGAGGTGCATGCCTGTCAGTTCAACAGGTGTATGAATGGAGTAGGAAGTTTCAAAATGGTGTGACTTCTGTGGTAGACTGTTCATTGTGATGCGACTCACCCAGCCGTGAACAGTTTATCACAGAAGTCATACCATTTTAAAACTTCCTGAACATTCGACTTGATCAAACCGAAAGCAGCACTCTGTCATCCATGTTTGCACCAACTGTTCATCTGTGAAATACCAATATGCTGTATATTGTCCAGCTGTGTGCTTGCCTAAGTTTGGAGGCTCCATCTGTCTGGAGGTCCTTGATGGCCACATTGCCACAGAAATGAGATTTCCCGTAACTGATATTGTCATGAAGAGCCGCTGGTCTCATGCGGGAGATCAAGGTTCGAATCCTCTGTAACGTTGTAGATTGTTTCTGTCAGGGACAAAAATAAAGCTCTGACCCGAACACAGTCTGTGGCGACAGCAGTAGCCAAGCAGCCCTTAATCCTCAGGCTGAAAGACCTCCCTGATTTCCACACAAAAGCGGTAAATACAGACGTAATGGCAGTATTGGAAATATTGTCACAAAGATGTTATTTCTTTAAACTGTTATTTTATTAAGTATAATTTAAAATGCCACTGTTAAATTCATAATAAATATATAATCTGAATTTATCAAGGTACTGGAGGTCGTGTGGGTGCAAAGGGAGCCACATTATCCCAGTATGTCGCTCAACAGATTGCTTCCAGAAAAGCAGATCCATATGAGAAAGATCCACGAGGGGCTATTTTGCGACATGCCAAAGAAGCTGCTGAGAATCCATACTGGGTTGATCCAGCATACAAAAAGTATGTTCAATAATTGTTTCCTTATTCTGAAAGCACTTTTATGTTTTTATTTGTCTAAATAGCTAATACTTGAAATAGAACCTAAACAACGACACTTTTACTCTGGCTTAGAGGTTGAAAAAAAAAAAAACACCCAGGGCACTCATAAAAAAACGAACAGTGTTGTTGAATGCAGAAATTTATATTCTGAAAAAAAAAATGTTTCTATAAGTGGCAGAAGACAAAATCAGATAAAGACTAATCGGCTATAGAAAAGCAAGAAGAGACAGCAAAAGGAAAGTGAAAGCGGCAAAATTAGAATCTTGGGCAGACTATGAAGTACAAGTAACAGAACTATACACTGAGTCACCAACACAGTTTTAAAGAAGTGTGGGCAGTTTTAAAAAAAATACCATTCTTGTGGTTTACAGACAAGGGTCTGAGAGTTGCACTGTAGAAGAGATTGGGACCTCACCCATAGTTAGCAGCGGATACAGTTACACCAAGTTTCTATTAACACTAACATACAAATAATTATCTTTTCTGTAACCAAAAAATTTTTTATGAAGTAATGAAATGTTTTATTTGCTCATATGTTATACTGTATAACCATCAGGAAAAATTGTCATAATATCCATAAAGGGATAACGTAAATGTAAAGCATGTGAAATTGTGCTGCTCACTGTTTAACTTTCTAAATGTTGAATTAAGAATCAACATCACAGCACTCTGGACACTCCCATAAGCGCTCAATCCTCCCCCCATCTTCAGCAGCAAGCAAAGAGTTTTAATTCCGATGATACCAGTAACCGTCTGATTGTATATCCTTCTCATCCTTCCCCTGAGTGTTGAGCATCGGCCAGATCCCCTGGTAACTCCTCGCAGCGCCATTCTCCTCAGACTGTAATGGTCTATCTGTGCCTCCGCACTGTTCACCCATTCCCAAAGGGCCCTCACAGTATCTAACTTGTCATTCATCAAATCAGTTCACCACTAAGTGGTGCAGAGCCAGCCAGTCTATCTGCCTGCTCATTTCCCAACACACTTATTTAACTTTCTAATTTGACCATATGTACTGGCAAGAGGCATGTTTTTATCTGACAAGATATGGCAGAAGGCAGACTTGTTTATTTCCCAGCATGAGGTACTGGGAAGGAGGAATGTGATCTATAAAGTGGCAGTATAGAGATTAATTAATTGTCAGCTGTTATCTGCTTCAGAGGGAAACCTTGGGGGGGGGGGGGGGGGGGGGGGGGGGGGCAGGATTTGGCTACTATTTATCAAAATTTGTTTTCAAGAACGAACAATTCCCACTGCTGACTAATCACACTGCTTACTATTTCCACTGCTCACTATTCCTTATCATCATCAGGTGCCTTGCCGACTGGCGTGGGCGATCATGCCTCTCCATAATCCACAATCTCCTACAGCATGTATCAGTTCAATCAATTGCCTCAATCAATCATGCCTCACTATTCCTACTGCTCACTAATCCTACTGCTCACTGTTCCTACTGCTCACTGTTCCCACTGCTCACTAATCCCACTGCTCACTAATCCCACTGCTCACTAATCCCACTGCTCACTGATATACCAGACACCACATTTTGCAGACCATGACAGTTTCTGCTGCAGAATATTATTTTTGCTGCAATTCCATGAAGCGAGAACCAAACAAATTCCAGTAAATCAAGAGGTGAGGAAACGACACCGAAGTTGGATAGGATACACATTGAGAAGACCTGATAACTAATGTCTTTGCACTGGAACCCACAGGATTTTAGGGAGTCTCTGTGGTGAAGTGGTCAAGCTATTTGCCTTGCACTCTGAAGGTCATGGGTTCATTTCACTGATGCGTCAGTCAGTTCACGAGTGCGGTTTTTACGGAGATCCCTAGGGATCGTCGCGGGAGCTACAGAGTTCATGCTCTGTGCAGTGCTCTCGGCAGGCGGCTAGCCGTTTTGAGGAGAGAGACTGAGCCATATTGGATAAAACCGGGTGCAGTGAGGTGGGTCCTCTCAACGTTAACCTTTAACTACAGGATCAAAGAAAGAATACATGCATGTCCGCACACAGAGAGCAAGAGAGAAATCATGAAGGGAACTTGAGAGTGAAGCTAGGAAGATGACACAGGGTGATTTATTTAGGATAGGACGACAAGGCGTGAGTTGGTTGCGAGTCTATACTCCAATGAGGGGATAAAGGGCAGAAAAAGAAATAAATGAAAACGTGGCATGTGACTTAGTCATAACTGATCATTTGACATTAGTTCTTAATTTACTGCTTTGTGATCTGTACAAAATATGTGTCAAACAATTTTGTTTATTTGCAGAACTCAGCCAACGCCAATGTTCCAGTTACCTGATACTGATGATGATGAAAAGAAGGATGATGATGATCAAGGCCCTTTGTGGAAAAAGAAGAAAACGACATGATGAAACTGTGATGGGCAGATTTGTTAATCAACCGCTGTCTGTCTCGGTTCATGTGATTACACATAATGTGAATACTGGTGATGTTAGCCGGATTGACTGAGGAGGGCGTCCAAGCACTTACGGATTGAATGGTTGGATTGCCACGAAGATGAGATCTGTTGACTCACTTGCTTCATGTAATAAAAATGTCTGAATGCTTAACAAGACCAATTTTACATTTTTTTATTTTTGAAATAATTTGCTGATTTGATTTGCAAATTTTCCAATCTGAGTGAATTTGAAAGACTAAGCTGTACTGGAAATGAAAATAAGAGTTCATAGCTCAAGTTACAAAAAAAAAAAAAATTTAACTATCTGAAAACACTCATCAGTATAAATATGCAAGAGCCTGTGGCAACAGCAAGTGAACACCTGTGGAAAGAAAAATTAATGAGTAAAGTTAACATTCTAGATGAGAAAAAAAGCTGAAGTGGAACTGTAGTTAGTTTACCAGTGCAGTGGCCAAAGGCCCCGTGCTAAAAAAAAAAAATCTTAATTTATTTGACCCTGACAGTTCCAGTATATTGTATTTATAATCTTGTTTTCTCAATTTGTGACCTATCCAGTGCCAGTGTCTTTTCCTCATGTCTTCACTTGATCCACTTTAATTTGTTTAGTTTTCTCCCAAAGTTCCAGATGGGTGATTCTTGGAGAAAACTAAATATGAAAGTTGGTACTAATCACAGAAGTCACCACATCGCTTGGGCTGGCTATTTCCATGGGCTGTGCTGTATTCTAGGAGTGTTATGAGATGCCTTCCTGCCCAATCTATACAAACCGTAGCGAAAACTGGCTTGCGCTCTTTCAACACACTTGTTTCCCAGTCAAAACTGCAGCTTTCTTGTCGCAACTGTCTTTTCTGTGCATGACTGTCATTTCTCGAATGTGTTGTTGTTGTGAGTAGCTCATAGGCACCTGTGTATAAGGAAGAAGTATTGCAGGGGGAAGCGCCAAAGGCTCAATGTTGGGGAGGGGGAAGCACCAAAGGCTCGACGGTTCATGAGTATCAAATCATTGATGTTTTTGTATTTCTACTCTCGTTGGCGGTGGCTGTTGTCAGTGGTGAATGTGCTAAAAACATTCAAAACAAATAACACCTGACACCTTAGAACATACAAGGACAGCCTGTTGGAAAGAATTTAAAATCCAGCAAGGGAGGGAGATGGGGTGAGTTGTAACTAAAAGTGTACCAAAAGGTTAGGAACAGACTGGTGCTGTACAGGATGTATATTATCAAAACCTGATTAACAGCATAACTAAAATGTCCTTGCACTGAAACCCACACAGGCAAAGAAATAAAAAAAGACCCCAAAACATCAAGAAAGGTTTAAAACTTGTGAATAAGAAAGATGTTGAGTGTTTTGCTAAGAACTGACACCACAGCACTAAAAACATTCCCATTAAGCTCTCCATCCTCATCTTCAGCAGCGAAGAGTTCCAGTTCCGATGGTGCCAGTAGTAGTTTGATTATATGTCCATATTGCCTTTCCTCCTCTCAGGTAGAGTGTCAACCAGATCTCCTGGTTACTCCTAGCTATACCATTCTCTCCAGACTATAACAATCTATTCATGCTTCTGCATTGTTCATTTGTTCCCTAAGGGCCTTGACTATGTAATTTCACTATCCATTTGTGCAGAACCAGCAATCTGCCTGCCTGTTCATTTCCCAAATACCATGTGAACAAGATGAGGACATATACTGAGCACCCTTATATTACCAGGGATACAGCCAAAATACCAACAGAAAAGCATTGTCATAACTATGATGCAGAAGTTCAAGCTGTCACAATAGCAGCAGAGAAACTACTAAATACTGGCTTATTTCACAACCATTGTATTCCTGACAGATGCAAAAGTGGTACTTCATGCACTCCAGTCTGGAAAATTACCAGGTATATGGACAGTGCTCTCTGAACTAGACAACCATGGTAAGGTAGCTATGCATTGGATACCATCCAACTGTGGAGATCCCAGAAATAAAAGAGCTGATAAACTAGCTAAGGAAGGTGCAGCTGAAGAACATCTGACGAATTAGTCTTTTATCAACAGAAGAAGAATCAAATTAATCAGAAAGCCACCAAGATGATTACCATATTATGGACAGATTAGAGCAAGTCAATATTCTATGCCTTAGAACAGGATACAATCGAATTCGCAGCCACATGTACACACAATTTAGCACTATAAAATCAGCTATGTGCACATAAAAGGTAAAGTTGGGAGATGTGAACCAGCGTCACTGCACACGGTTATAAACCATAAGTGCTCTGCCACCAGTACGGACAGCTGATAAGAATTGTCCGCCTGTGTCGCCGTTGGCACGTAACTCTGTAGCTACAGCGAAGTTCCTCCATTTACCCCAGAGTATCACTCTGGTACCCATTTCCTAGAGGCTGAGTGAAACCCAGGAGCCGCCCGGTTTCGAACACCGACTGTGGGCTGCAGCGAGTCGCAGCTGGATTTGAAAGCGAGCTTCTTATCGACTGCGCTAACGCGGCCCCGGATACAAGTGCACATGTAGACTGGCACCTGAGACAACATCCTCCAAGACTGTCCCAAATACATTTCCAGGCAAAACTTCTGGCCAAGACAGTCACTAGTGGAAGCCAAACTTTACGGGCTGCTAAGTGTATTACAAAAGGCAGTGAAGTTCATAATCAAGACAGCATTGCAGATATAGATAATTTTTTTCAAGCAAATAAAATAAGAAGATTAGGACATGGAGTGAACACCACAGATCACAAAGGATAGGAAAAGCTTGGTGCAAGCTGGTTCAGAGCATAAAGGGCAGACGAAGAAAAAGAAGAAGAAATGCACCAAGAAAGAGGAAAAAAAAAGTACTGAGAAAACTTGCAGTTCTGTATATAGATAGAATAAAAGCAGCCACAGATATCAACTGCATTTCTGTTAACAAAACTGTATTGACTTGAAAAGAAAGACAAGAACATAGAAATCTTTCTTCTTGCAGCATTATACAAGGTCCGACAACTAAGTAATGAGACTGATTTTATTATGACCAAGACTAAAGTGCCATCTATGAAGCAAAGCATGGAATCCAAAGAGGCAACCTTCACCTATGATCTGGCAACTTTGCATCGCCGCCTGATAAGCAGATGACAAACAAGCCACCATTTTATTGACCTAGTTAGATGTGCATTGTTACAAAATCAGCACAGAGCAAAAAGCTAACATTAAATTCTGTTTAAAACTCAGAAAAAGCACAATTGAGACAGTTGAATTGATGCATCAGGTTTATGGGGATATTTGTTTATCTGGTGCACAGATTTTCAGGTAGTATTCACTATTCAAAATTGGTGTAGAAATGATTACTAATGCAACTAGACCTGGACGCCTAGTTTCTGTTTGTAATGATGAACTCACTGCAAAAGTCACAGAATGGTTATAAGAAGATTGTTGTTTTACTGTTAGGATGAGGGCAGATGAATTAACAGAGACCCTTCATAAAATTTTAGTACAAGATTTTGGCCCCAAAAAGGTTGCTTGCAGGTTTGTACCACATTCGTTGTCTGAGGAACAAAAACATCAGCAAGTTGAGTACCCATGAGACATCAAAACTGGAATTTTTGGCCCCAAAACAAGTGTGTGTTCTCAACCATCCACCCTATTCCCCAGATTTGTCTCCCTGTGATTATTTTCTATTCCCAGAATTATAGTTACCATTGAAAGAACGCTTCTTTGACTATATTGATGGCATCCAAAGGGCCGTAACATCGACTTTAAGGGCCATAGCAACAGAAGAACTACAGCGGTCGTTCCAGTGTTTGTTAGATCGTGCTACTCACTGTATCAATGCACAAAAAGTTTACTATGAATATATATATCTTCAACTGTTGATTACTTTGATTTTTATGTAATTAGTCTTATTACTTAATTATCGGACCTTGTATTTATCATCTCATCTTAATATATGTCACATAAGGCTCGCAGTCCATTATGCTCCACCCTGTACATTTGTGTTCATCAGCATTTGTTATAGAAATGTTCTTGGCGTCTTTATTTTTTCCCAACCCATCTTTTTGCCAGTTTCAGTAGTGCCTGTTTGTGATTCTGTTTATTCTTCACCTCAGAATGCACCTAACATTATAAATACACTGAACAAAAGCAACGACACACGTGAACTGTGTTTCCTCACCTGTACACAAACATTAACAACATTCAGTAAAGAAGGAAAGAAAAGAGGGCTGAGAACACTGACACATACAAGCAATCACAATGTCTGAATGCTACAGAAGCCCTGAGTTCAGCTTCTCATATACATACATATATATATCTATATATATGAGAGCGTGTATGTATCTGTGTATGTATGAGCATGTAAGAAAATGTGTACGTGAGTATTGTTGTGTATACATGATGTGTGTATGCATTATTTCATTATATTTCTGTATATATTTTATGTAGACATAACATGCATATTGTAAACATAACATGTATTTTTGATAACATGCAATGGTGGTCTGAAAGATGAATGCTTAGAAGGTCCGAATGTAAGATGGGCTTGTGTGCCCAATTTGTAACCCTTTGAAAATGGTTTGTTCTTTCCCTGTGGGGATGTAGTGGTGTTGAACAACGCGTGGTGGGGGACCAGGACACATGCTGCTCAAGACCTGTCTACATCTCTTAGCGTTCATCCTAGAAACATGTTTCCTATTGTTATAGGCTTGGCCATTGTAGACCAGATCAACTTTTCTTTCGAAGTTAGCAGTGCATCTGCCTGAAAGGTGAGGAACCAACAGTCTGCACACAAATAATCCAGATCTGTCAAATGGCTGTACCTGCAACACTGAAGTCCTGGTACAAGGCCAAAGTCCAGAAGTGGATGAAGCAGGACTTTCTGCTGAAGTTTACGGCTGGTGAAAGCTATGAAGAAGAATCTTCCCCACGAGGTCCGGCACATGGTGTTATGCTGCTTATTCAACACTGTATATTCAATAACATGTCATGCAGCTTGGGGGGGGGGGGGGGGGGTGGGGGGTAATCAACCCACTCTAAGAATCTATGAGTTACTATATTCTTAGGAAATGTACAGAAGATCAGTAATAAAACTGACTCTATACCAAAACAGAGAAAGTCACAAATAAAGTAGTAAAGGACACTTTGCAGGCATATTGGGCTAGACTTATATTTCATAGATCAATCGGTACTCGGGGGAAGGGGGGGGGGGGTGATGTGGTCTTTACTTGTCAGGACTTTACCTAGTAGCTATTTAAGGCTGGGTCGACCTGAGACCCAAGGTCATTCTGTCATTCTACAGGTCGTCGTCAGACTTCATCCGGACCTGAACCAACGGACGACCTTAAGATCCACAGGTGAGCGTCTAGCTGCAATATTAGGGCGGCTCCCAAATAAAGTAGTAAAGGCCCTTTTTACGTCATCGGTGCACTAGTCATATGGTGCTAGATCCATATTTTATAGACCCATTTGCAATTAATCGGTGGTCAGCATCAGGCTTGTCACCATTACATCCAGGATATGTCCTAGTAAGAAAATTAGGCTGGACGATAGAGTGCTTCAGGATTATATAATTTGTCTCTTTTAAAGGAAAAGGATATTAACATTCGAAAAACAATAACTAAGATAACGAACAATGGAAAGGAGTAAACTGATAGATATTTGATAAAGTAACAAGTTCCTCCTATCTTGGACACCTATTAGCAGACGATGGCAGCAGTGAAACAGAAATTAAGAAGAGAACAGGAATGGCTAAAACTGTCTTCGATAAAATATGAAAATTACTGACAGCTAGAGAGATATAAAACAACATATTAAAAATTTGAATCTTTAAATGATATACGTAGACAACACTGCAGACGGAAAGCAAGACAGACATATAATCAAACTGCTTTTGGCATCATCAGAATTAGAACTTCACTGGCTGTAAAGATCTATCATCTGGAAAGACAGAAAGGTGCCAAACCAATCAAAAGGTGAGAACAGAGAGCTTATGGGAATGTCTCGAGTGCTGTGATGTCAGATCTTAGCTCAATACTCAACCCTGCTGTATGGTGCAGAAACCTGGACAATGAACAAACAACTAGAAATTAGAACTGTCTCCTAAAATATGGATACACAGAATAGGTAATATTTGAATGTTGAATTAAGAATCGACATCACATCACTCGGGACACTCCCATAAGCGCTCTGTCTCCATCTTCGGCAGCAAGCGCAGAGTTAAAATTCCGATGGTACCAGTAACTGTCTGATTGTATATCCGTCTCGCCTTTCCCCTGAGTGTCGAGCGTCGGCCAGATCCCTTTGTAACTCCTCGCAGTGCCATTCTCCTCAGACTGTATTGATCTATCTGTTCCTCAACACTGTTCACTCGCTCCCAAAGGGCCCTCACAACATCCAGCTTGTCATACATCAGTTCACCACCAAGTGGTGCAGAACTGGCCAGTCTATCCGCCTGCTCATTTCCCAACACACCGGCATCACGTGGAGAAAATATCCAAAGGATGCTAACTACCCGAGACCTCTGAAGTGATGTTTGCCACTCTGAACGGAGGATACCTGACTCCACCTTTCTCAGCATACTCTGTGAGTCAGTTACAATGACGACATGTGTGTACAGCTGATTCTCAAGCCAACGGAAGGCAGCAGTTACTGCCTCCACCTCCATTTTCAAACTAGACGTGATATCATATGCCAGGCTTTGTTACGCCAAAGTCTAGTGGCTAGGTAATATTTAATGGAAACAAAAAGAATCAAATACACAAGCTTTTTGTGTGTGTGTGGGGGGGGGGGGGGGGGGGGGGGGAAACTGCAAATGAAAAAGAACTACTGAGAGAAAAAACAAAAGACAACTGAAATATTTCAGCCACATTATTAGGCATAAGACCCTTTTAAAAACCATACTGAAGGGAAAGGTCAATGGCAAGAGAACAAGAGGTAGACAATGACACACATGGGATAAAAACATAAGAGTTGGATGAACAACAGTCTGAGAGAATGTAATACCAAGACAATGAGACAAAGACATTTGGAGATACATCACAGCCAACCTTTGTTGTGGAGATGGTGACTTATTTCATCATTATCATGAAGCAGGACTTTTGCAGAACGTCGCTCTCATCATAATCTGCCTAAAAAAAAAAAAACTGTATCTCGCCAGCTCTCCCACCTCATATACTTTCATACTCAAGGAGTCACCTATATCCTTTGCCCATCTTCGTGCTGGTCAGCCCCTGCCCCTCCTTCCTGGTACCAATCTGTCATGGCTCTTGATATAACCTAAAAATATTTAAATTTCCGAGACAGGATGCTGTTTATTAGCCAATCTTCCTTGATGTTCAGATCTTTCAAGATGTCAGTATTTCTCTTCTTCTTGGTGACTGATTTACTGAAGGAAATTTACAGAGAGGACTTCCACAGATATAATTACACACCACTTACAAAAACACACTTTGTCCAAAGAAGGAGTGCTCCCAGAATCTGTACTTTGTCACTTTAATAACATCATGGTCCTTGAAAGCACTGATGATGTCTTGTGCACTAAGAAAAGGAAAACAAAAACTAACAATAGAATAGTTTTACAAGGAAGACCAGGAATAAACCAACACACTAAAATTTGTTTTACTGACTGATTTATTGTTTTTCTCTCAAGTTTGCTACCTGAACATTTACACCCTGAGATTATAACATCTCTGGCAGACCAACAGGGCAAGTCCCAGATGCTCTATCAGCTGGGGTACCACGTGAAGTCTTCAGAAGTCAAGATGGCCGGCCTTAATGTTGACCACATCACCCACTGAGTGCCGACTGGTCTACACAAATATATCTAACATCATATGTCTGATCTAGCACTAGCATGAAAAGGGTCTTTTACTGTATTTTTGTTGAGGTTTGATTTCCTAATTGACCAACAAGGCACCCATTCTGCTAGATTCCTCTCCTTTGACATGTCCAAAACAGGAGACCTCACCAATATCCAAGCAGCTACTGGGGTCATGCAGCACAGAAGCCCTTCTATCACTTCACGATGGAGATTCATTAAAGTGGATATAGGAGCTAACTGATGTGATAAAGTTGGCTGTAGCAAGGTGTGTGTACCCAATCCGCTGGCTTGCTCTCCCTTGATCTGTCCAGTATTAGAGACTTTACCCCATTGCTAAAGCTAGTGAGGTCATGGAACAAACAAGCCCTTCTATCACTTCACGATGGAGATTCATTAAAGTGGATATAGGAGCTAACTGATGTGATAAAGTTGGCTGTAGCAAGGTGTGTGTACCCAATCCGCTGGCTTGCTCTCCCTTGATCTGTCCAGTATTAGAGACTTTACCCCATTGCTAAAGCTAGTGAGGTCATGGAACAAACAAGCCCTTCTATCACTTCACGATAGAGACTCATTAGAGAGGATATAGGACCTAACTGACGTGATAAAGTTGGCTGTAGCAAGGTGTGTGTACCCAATCCGCTGGCTTCCTCCCCCTTGATCTGTCCAATATTAGAGACCTTACCTCACTGCTATAGCTACTGAGGTCATGGAACAAACAAGCCCTTCTATCACTTCATGGTTGAGACTCATCAGACAGGACAAAAATGATGTAAAACAAGCTGGCAGTGAAAGGTATATGTGCCTCTTCTGTTGGTTTCCTCCGTCTTAATCGGTCCAATATGGTGAGCTACCTACCAGTAGCCCATCAGAGAAGGTATAGCACATAGCTTACGTGATAAAGTTGGCTGTAGCAACAACTGCCTGTCTTGAATTGATCATCTGTACATCAACGGCACCATATAAAGAGAACCACAATGCCAGCTGCAGACAGAAACATTTGTAAATTACATGATATGGGTGGCTATGAGTTTTACAATTATATGGCTACTTTATATCCTAAGTTCTTCATGTGGATCCCAGGACTCCATTGGGGGGGGGGGGGTAATAGACCCACTGGCGCTCTTTCAACTGCCACCGACAAGCTCACTGTAGGAGGCGACTCATTAGAGGTGTTTCTTTCAAAGTTACAGTGCACCTGCCTGTGCATTCAAATCTGTAAAATGTATGTGCACTCAAAAATCAAGCTCTGGAACAAGGACAAAGTCAAGAAGTGGACAAACTAGAACTTTTCACCAAGCTTACAGCTGGAGAATGATAAGAAGCAAACAAAGAAAAAAGATATCAATAGATCTCTATATAGGTAGTGTGAGTTAGTCATAAGTGAAAATAAAAGTTATGCAAGTATCCTTGCAGTGGCTAGACGATTGCCTGCCAGCCCGAAAGCCTTGTATTGAAAGCTGCATTGGGCAGATTAAAAAAAAAAAAAAAAAACTGACCTTGGCTCTCAGGTCAACCCAGACTAAAATGGATACCAGGAAATGTCTTCAGAATTAAAGTTGGGCTATGTGGTGCTGATCACATCACCCACTGATTCATTTACTTGTTACTTTCAAAAATGTCCAGTTGCATTACTGGCAGGAAAAGGTTCCTTTACTTGTTACTTTCAAAAATGTCCAGTTGCATTACTGGCAGGAAAAGGTTCCTTTACTTGTTACTTTCAAAAATGTCCAGTTGCATTACTGGCAGGAAAAGGTTCCTTTACTTGTTACTTCAAAAAATGTCCAGTTGCATTACTGGCAGGAAAAGGTTCCTTTACTTGTTACTTTCAAAAATGTCCAGTTGCATTACTGGCAGGAAAAGGTTCCTTTACTTGTTACTTCAAAAAATGTCCAGTTGCATTACTGGCAGGAAAAGGTTCCTTCACTTGTTACTTCAAAAAATGTCCAGTTGCATTACTGGCAGGAAAAGGTTCTTTTACTTGTTACTTCAAAAAATGTCCAGTTGCATTACTGGCAAGAAAAGGTTCCTTTACTTGTTACTTCAAAAAATGTCCAGTTGCATTACTGGCAAGAAAAGGTTCCTTTACTTGTTACTTCAAAAAATGTCCAGTTGCATTACATTACTGGCAGGAAAAGGTTCTTTTACTTTCAAAAATGTCCAGTTGCATTACTGGCAAGAAACGGTTCCTTTACTTGTTTAAATGTCCAGTTTATAAATATTACCTGCTGCGGGATGAGCTTTGTGCCAGTTTTAATCGCCTGCACATGAATCAAGGGTGGCCTCTGCACGGGCGGTTCACTTCCAGCAAGGTTCTTGAAAACAAAAGGTCAAAGTTCAAAATTAACTAAGGGACGTTCTTTCTTCTTGTAGTCCGTCTGTAAAAGTGTGGCATTAATAGTCATGTTTATCCACAACCTTCTGTCTAGTGTACTTTCAGTCAGTTCTGACACAGATGATCTTCCATGCAATTACATCAAATTGTACAGCATCTTCGCTCCCCCCCCCCTCCCTCCAAAAAAAATGTTTCTCATCATTAAGATGACTTCAGTATTCTCTTTCTCATGACATGACCAAAGAATGTAGACAGTCTCATTCTGATGTGGGTAATCAATTCTCTTTGCGAGTCAGTTTCTTTCAAGACATCTTCATTACTCTTTTGATCTTTCCAGGGTATTCTTATCATTTGTCAATAAAACCTCATCACCCCCACTTTTTCTTTGGAATCTTTAAAAAAAATTAATTTTCTTCTTCTTCGTGTTCACCGGCTGTAAACTCCGGCGGAAAGTTCTGGTTGTTCGTCCACTTCTGGACTGCAGTCCTGTTTCAGAACCTGAGTGTTGCCAGTGCATCTGTTTGACAGATCTAAACACACTTGTGTGCAGACTGTTGGTTCCTCTCAGACAGATGCACTCTGGTTCCCACCCACCAAGTGCCGATTGGTCTATAAAATATAGGTCTAGCCCTGAGATGTCTGAGACGTGGAAAAGTTTCTTTTACTTTAAAAAAAAAAAAACATCTGATCCCAGCAAACCCTTAATTAGTCGCCTTCTATGACAGCTTGTTAAGGGATGTGGGACTATTCCCCCCCTCCCCACCCTTCCCTCCCCCAAATGAAATGTGGTCTTGGACATAAGTACTCAGTACATTCCTCTGTATACCCTCCAGCTTAGTTCCATGCTGGTTTACTGTTCTTCTGAAGCTTCCTGCGTAGTGCTCATCAGATTTCACCTCTTCCAACATGCAGCTCTTGTGGTCAAGTCAATGCTGCTGGTTTATATTCACTACCACATAATTACACACTGCACTAACACAAAGGAAACACTGTGGCTTAGCGGCTAGAAGGTCGTGGGTTCGCTCCCTGGCGGAGCCAGACTTTTAAAAAAAATGAACTTGGCTTCCAGGTCGACCCAGCTTTGAGTGGGTACCAGGTGCAGTCCTGGGAAGTAAAGGTGGCTGGCGTGATGCTGACTACATCACCCATCTTGTGCCATTGGTCTATAAAATATAGGTCTAGCCCTATGTACCCAATACGACTGAAAAGCGTAGAAAAGGGTACTTTACTTTTATTTTCACTTTACTTACTAACAACACAGATAGATCTGCCACAAACAGCCACTGCTTCCACACTTACTATGTAATTCACCATTGCCCTGATAACATTGATACAATTGCAATATTCTTTCACTGATGGGAGATACATCTTGAAAGAGCAAGTGGAAACATCCATGGAACTGTTGGAACAGAGACAAATAACTGAACTCAGTTTTAAAAATAAAGCAAGGGGAAACATCCATGGAACTGTTGGAACAAAGACAATACTAAACTCAGTTTAAAAAAAAAAAAAGGTATAATGTGTCTTGAGAAATTAAATGCACAGAATTAAAGAACATCAATTGTGAATCCAACAGACTTGTACTCTTATCCGTGTTCACCCTTATACAGGATGGCAGGCACACTGTGCTGTCATTTACAGCAAGGTGTTAAAAAATAACAATGAGTCTAGCACGGCGTTTCCCAAACTTGTCTGGCCCACCGCCCATGGAAATATCATCATCATCAATCATCATCATCATGTGCCACATCAAAAAAGCACAGGAGGTCAGGAGGTGGTGCTCTTGTCCTGCCCGATGAACATGGCCAATTCATCAAGACATTATTTATCTCTTTGATTTCTCTTAAACCTTTTTCTGTCAATTTTGCTAGTTCTTCTTCTTCTTTCGCTCACTTGGAATAGATTATCTATGTCTGCAATTAGGCTAGCTGACACCAAGTTCTCAAGTATATTCCTTGCCCTGAAATATACCTTATGTAATCAAATAAAAACAATGACATAATGGCAAATTTTGTTTTTTGTATCATCTTTCCTTCCACGCCGCTCAAAGGATTTGATTATTTACACAGATGGATCAGTGTCAAGAGGCAAAAAAAGGGCTTGGGGTTTCTTAGCAAAAGTTAATGGTCAACATTTAGTGCAGGAGTGCCTAGCATATGATGCCACAACATCCGGCTTAAGAGTGGAGGCTGTCATTGCAGCTTTCCGCTGTTTACAGAACACGACACGCACACACATCCTGATTGTAACTAACTCAGAAAGCATGCTGAGGACAGTCAGGACAGACATGCTTTGTGCAGAGTGGCGTGCTTCACTGCGGAGGACACAGGTGAGGAGTATTGTCAGGATTTTTACCTCCGGGAAACGCTGGTGTGTTGGGAAATGAACAGGTGGACAGACTTGCTGGCTCTGCACAACTTGGTGGAATACTGATACATGATAAGGCAGGCTTGGTCAGTGCCTTGTGGGAGAGCGTGTACAGTTCGGAGGAGTAGATGGATCACCACAGTCTGGTGAGATTGATGCACTGGGGTGTGACGAGGGGTTCTAGCAGATGCTTGAGGCTCAGAGGAAAGGCAAGACGCACGTTTAATCAGAATGCTGCTGGCACCATTAGTATCAGAACTCTGCGCTGGCTGCTGAAGATGGGGACGGAGTACTTATGGGAATGCCCCGAGTGCTGTGATGTCAGTTCTTAAATCAAATCAAATCAAATCTTTCTTCACCTTGCTCTGGTCTGTAATTCTGCACTCTTTTAAGAGTGTCTGGCATTTTCAAACTCTGAGACAAAAGGGCTGCATGAGGTTTCCTGCAGACTTCCTTAGCTCTGTCTTATTATCTCTAGGGATCCTCAGTAGGCTGGAATTCACTACTGGACTAGTTCTGCTCTTGTGGACAGCATTCTAACCTTTTTAATTTAATTTAAAGCTGATGTCCTGTTTAGAGCGTGAGATGGCCTGGAGGATATCTATTCAGATTATGCCACAATGTTGGTACAGAAAGCATCTTATTCAAAAAAATATATGTTGTGTGTAACTGCTGCTTGCAGAAGTTTCAACTCAGGCCATCCTTCCACTCAGTGTCAAAACATGGGAATATTAAAACATAACCAGAGCACAACTAATTCTTTAATGAAAAGGATGAATCTGAACTGGTCATAAGATAATTACTTTGAAAATTAAAAGAAATAAACTGCGATTTTAATCTGTAACACTACACTGAAAAACTTATAAACAGTTTATGAAAATGGTCTCCCCCCCCTTTCCAAATCTCTACCTGTCTCATTTTTATTCAGTGCTTCCAGCCGCACCTGAGGCAGCTATCACCCCCCTGGAGCATCTAAGTTCCCCCCCCCCCCCCCAATTTCTTTTTTTTTTTAAATTTGAGGCCGTGTCTGCTAGGAAATGTATACGGTGTGATTGTCTGCCCAAGCAATGTATATATTGTGATTCTGGTAAATTATTCATATGTGTTAATTATGTTAATTTTTTTGTTTTGTTTTGTTCCGTTTGGCACCTTTTTTGTCTTTCTACATGACAGTGTTATACTAGGCTACGAGGAGACATGGGACTTACAGCCCATGGCAATTGCAAGTGTGACTAGCAAGATCTGCCCTATGTTAAGAAAAATCTTCCACAGTTATAGCCCTCTCGATGCAATACTCAACCCTGCTATATGGTGCAGAAACCTATACAATGAACAACGAAAGAATGTGTAAATTCTATTTCTTATTCTTAGAGTTCACCGGTTGTAACCTCTGACAAAAATTCTGGTTGTTTGCCCACTTCTGAACTTTGGTTTTGCTGCAAAAGAGTTTCGCGTGCACATCCATTTCACAGATCTAGCTTATTTATTTGCAGGCTGTTGGTTTCTTGCCTCTCAGACAGATGCACTTCTTCAAAAGAAACAGTAGCTTTCACAACATGGTTCTTAGGGAGACAGTGGGTGTGTTCTTTTTCACCTTACAGTGAGGTTCCAGAACCCATCAGGGAAAATGTGTAAATGACAAGTTTTGATCCTGGGGATATAAAAGCTAGGATATTACTTACTCAAAGTTGCGGAAGTGCAGCAGATGGCACAGACGCAGAAATACTGTAACATAAGATTAATAAATGTTTGTTAAGACACAGCAAAAAATGAATTCATTTATCTTCTACTGATGTAGCAAAAGCTGTCCTCTTACTCACGATAAGTCCTCTATATGCTTCTTAATGTCTAGTTGCAATTTGCAGCTATGGGTTCCATGGGATAAAGTGGCCAGCCTCTTGCCAACCCTCCTTAGTTACCTTGCACATGTTAGGTAGGTAAAGTTAAAAAAAAATAAAACGTTTGGATCCCTTTTCACATCTAGACATACTGGGCATCTAGGCTCCATTTCCATGCCTTCAGATGTATTGGTCACATACGGGTAGTTCTGGCTTATTGTGTATCCAGATCTGGCCAATTTTGTATCCAGGTCTGGATTATTTTGTAAACCAGTCTGGTTAATTTGTATCAAGATCTGCCTTATTTGTGTCCATATCTGACTTTTTTGTATTGATCTGGCTCATTGTATCCAGATTGGGCTCAAGTGTATCCAGATCTGGCTTATTTTGTATCCAGATATGGCTTATTATGTATCCAGATCTGGCTTATTTTATATCCAGATCTGGATTATTTTGTATACATATCTGGCATATTTTGTGTCCAAATATGGCTAATTTTGTATTGATCTGGCTCAATTATATCCAGATATGGCTTATTTTATATCCAGATCTGGTTTTTTGGTATCAAGATCTTGCCTATTTTGTATCAAGATCTGGCTTATTTTGTATCCAGGTCTGGCTTATTTTGTATCCAGACCTAGCTTATTTTATATCAAGATCTGAAATGTTTTATATCCAGATGTGGCTTATTTTGTATCTAAATCTGGCTTACTTTGTATCTAAATCTGGCTTACTTTGTATCCAGATCTGGCTTATTTTATATCCAGATCTGGTTTATTTTATATCCAGATCTGGCTTATTTTGTATCTAAATCTGGCTTATTTTATATCTAAATCTGGCTTACTTAGTATCCAGAACTGGCTTATTTTGTATTTAGATTTGGCTTATTTTGTATACAGATCGTGCTTATTGTGTATCTAGATTTAGCTTATTTTGTTTCTAAATCTGGCGTACTTTGTATCCAGAACTGGCTTATTTTGTATCTAGATTTTGCTTATTTTGAATAAAGATCTGGCTTATTTAATATCCAGATCTGGCTTATTTTATATCCAGGTCTGGCTTATTTTATATCCAGATTTAGCTTAATTTGTATAAATCTGGCTTACTTTGTATCCAGATCTGGCTTATGTTATATCAAGAACTGGCTTTTTTTAATATCCAGATCTAGCTTATTTTAGATCCAGATCTGACTTAATTTGTATCCAGATCTGACTTAATTTGTATCCAGATCTGGCTTATTTTATATACAGATTTAGCTTATTTTATATCCAGATCTGGCTTACTTTGTATCTAAATCTGGCTTACTAAGAATGCAGAACTGGCTTATTTTTTATCTAGATTTGGCTTATTTTATATCCAGATTGGCTTATTTTGTATCCAGGTCTGGCTTATTTTGTATCCAGATCTGGCTTATTTTATATTCAGATTTAGCTTATTTTATATCCAGATCTGGCTTACTTTGTATCTGAATCTGGCTTACTAAGAATGCAGAACTGGCTTATTTTTTATCTAGATTTGGCTTATTTTATATCCAGATTGGCTTATTTTGTATCCAGGTCTGGCTTATTTTGTATCCAGATCTGGCTTATTTTGTATCCAGATCTGGCTTATTTTATATCCAGATCTGGCTAATTTTGTTTCCAGGTCTGGCTTATTTTGTATCTAGATCTGGCTTATTTTGTATCTAAATCTGGCTTTGTATCAAGATCTGGCTTATTTTATATCCAGATAAGGCTTATTTTATATCCAGATCTGGCTTATTTTGTATCCATTTATCTTCTACCGATGTAGCAAAAGCTGTCCTCTTACTCACGACAAGTCCTCTATATGCTTCTTAATGACTAGTTGCAATTTGCAGCTACAAGGGTTCCATGGGATAAAGTGGCCAGCCTCATGCCAACCCTCCTTAGTTACCTTGCACATGTTAGGTAGGTAAAGTAAAAAAAAAATAAAACGTTTGGATCCTTTTTCACATCTAGACATACTGGGCATCTAGGCTCCATTTCCATGCCTTCAGATGTATTGGTCACATACGGGTAGTTCTGGCTTATTGTGTATCCAGATCTGGCCAATTTTGTATCCAGGTCTGGATTATTTTGTAAACCAGTCTGGTTAATTTGTATCAAGATCTGCCTTATTTGTGTCCATATCTGACTTTTTTGTATTGATCTGGCTCATTGTATCCAGATTGGGCTCAAGTGTATCCAGATCTGGCTTATTTTGTATCCAGATATGGCTTATTATGTATCCCGATCTGGCTTATTTTATATCCAGATTTAACTTATTTTGTATACATATCTGGAGATCTTACTTATCTTTCTGATTTGTATCCAGATCTGGATTATTTTGTATCCAGATCTGGCTTATTTTGTATCCAAATATGGCTAATTTTGTATTGATCTGGCTCAATTATATCCAGATATAGCTTATTTTATATCCAGATCTGGTTTTTTGGTATCAAGATCTTGCCTATTTTGTATCAAGATCTGGCTTATTTTGTATCCAGAAATGGCTTATTTTGTATCCAGAAATGGCTTATTTTGTATCCAGACCTAGCTTATTTTATATCAAGATCTGGAATGTTTTATATCCAGATGTGGCTTATTTTGTATCTAAATCTGGCTTACTTTGTATCTAAATCTGGCTTACTTTGTATCTAGATCTGGCTTATTTTATATCCAGATCTGGCTTATTTTATATCCAAATCTGGTTTATTTTGTATCCAGGTCTGGCTTATTTTGTATCCAGACCTATCTTATTTTATATCAAGATCTGGAATGATTTATATCCAGATGTGGCTTATTTTGTATCTAAATCTGGCTTACTTTGTATCTAAATCTGGCTTATTTTGTATCCAGATCTGGCTTATTTTATATCCAGATCTGGCTTATTTTATATCCAGATCTGGCTTATTTTGTATCTAAATCTGGCTTATTTTGTATCTAAATCTGGCTTACTTAGTATCCAGAACTGGCTTATTTTGTATTTAGATTTGGCTTATTTTGTATACAGATCGTGCTTATTGTGTATCCAGATCTGGTTCATTTTGTATTGAGTTTTGGCTTATTTTGTATTCTAATCTGGCTTATTTGTGTCAAGATCTTACTCATTTGTGTCGAGTTCTGACTTATTTTGTATCTAGATCTGGCTTATTTTATATCAAAATCTGGTTTTTTTTTTTGTATCTAGAACGCGCATATTTTGTATCCAGGTCTGGCTTATTTGGTATCCATACCTGGCTTATGTTATAGCAAGATCTGGCTTATTTTGTATCTAGATTTAGCTTATTTTGTATCTAAATCTGGCTTACTTTGTATCCAGAACTGGCTTATTTTGTATCTAGATTTTGCTTATTTTGAATATAGATCTGGCTTATTTAATATCCAGATCTGGCTTATTTTATATCCAGGTATGGCTTATTTTATATCCAGATTTAGCTTAATTTGTATAAATCTGGCTTACTTTGTATCCAGATCTAGCTTATTTTATATCCAGATCTGATTTAATTTGTATCCAGATCTGGTTTATTTTGTATCCAGATCTGGCTTATTTTATATACAGATTTGGCTTATTTTATATCCAGATCTGGCTTACTTTGTATATAAATCTGGCTTACTAAGAATTCAGAACTGGCTTATTTTGTATCTAGATTTGGCTTATTTTATATCCAGATTGGCTTATTTTATATCCAGGTCTGGCTTATTTTGTATCCAGATCTGGCTTATTTTGTATCCACATCTGGCTTATTTTATATCCAGATCTGGCTAATTTTGTATCCAGGTCTGGCTTATTTTGTATCCAGATCTGGCTTATTTTGTGTCTAAATCTGGCTTTGTATCAAGATCTGGCTTATTTTATATCCAGATAAGGCTTATTTTAAATCCAGATCTGGTTTATTTTGTATCCATTTATCTTCTACCGATGTAGCAAAAGCTGTCCTCTTACTCACGACAAGTCCTCTATATGCTTCTTAATGACTAGTTGCAATTTGCAGCTACAGGGTTCCATGGGATAAAGTGGCCAGCCTCATGCCAACCCTCCTTAGTTACCTTGCACATGTTAGGTAGGTAAAGTTAAAAAAAAAAATAAAACGTTTGGATCCTTTTTCACATCTAGACATACTGGGCATCTAGGCTCCATTTCCATGCCTTCAGATGTATTGGTCACATACGGGTAGTTCTGGCTTATTGTGTATCCAGATCTGGCCAATTTTGTATCCAGGTCTGGATTATTTTGTAAACCAGTCTGGTTAATTTGTATCAAGATCTGCCTTATTTGTGTCCATATCTGACCTTTTTGTATTGATCTGGCTCATTGTATCCAGATTGGGCTCAAGTGTATCCAGATCTGGCTTATTTTGTATTGAGATCTGGGTTATTTTATATTCAAATCTGGCTTATGTGTATCGAGATCTGACTTATTTGTATTCAGATTTGTCTTATTAGTGTCCAGATCTAACTTTTTTGTATTGATCTGACTTATTTGTGTTGAGTTCAGACTTATTTTGTCTCCAGATCTGGCTTATTTTGTATTCAGATCTGGCTTATTTTATATCCAGATCTGACATTTTTTGTATCCAGATCTTGCTTATTTTGTCTCCAGATCTGGCTTATTTTTGTATACAGATCATGCTTATTGTGTATCCAGATCTAGCTTATTTTGTATCCAGACCTGGCTTTTTTTGTATACAGATCATGCAATAATTATTGTGTATCCAGATAAGGCTTATTTGTATCAAGATCTGACTTATTTGTGTTGAGTTCTGTCTTTTTTGTATTCAGATTTTTCTTATTAGTGTCTAGATCTGACTTTTTTGTATTGACCTGACTTATTTGTGTCGAGTTCAGACTTATTTTGTGTTGAGTTTTGACTTATTTGTATTCAGATTTGTCTTATTAGTGTCTAGATCTGACTTTTTTGTGTCGAGTTCAGACTTATTTTGTGTCTAAATCTGGCTTACTTTGTATCCAGGACTGGCTTATTAAGTATCTAGATTTGGCTTATTTTGTATACAGATCTGGCTTATTTTGTATCCAGATCTGACTCAATTATTTCCAGATCTGGCTTATTTTGTATCCAGATCTGACTCAATTATATCTAGATCTGGCTTATTTTGTACCAAGATCTGGCTTATTTTGTATCCAGGCATGGGTTATTGTTTATCCAGATCTGGCTTATTTTGTTTCTAGAACTGTCTTTTTTTGTATCTAGATTTGGCTTATTTTTTGTATCTAAATCTGGCTTACTTTGTTAGTAGAACTCTCTTATTTTGTATCCAGAACTGGCTTACTTTGTATCCAGATATGAATTATTTTATATCCAGATCTGGATTATTTTATATCCAGATCCTTCTGATTTGTATCAAGATCTGGCTTATTCATATCCAGACTTGCCTATTTTGTATCCAGATCTGGCTTTTTCTTTCTAGATCTGGCTTAATTTGTATCCAGATCTGGCTTATTTGGTATCCAGATCTAACTTATTCTGTATCCAGACCCTTCTGATTTGTATCCAGATCTGGCTTATTTTGTATCCAGATATGGCTTTTTAAAAATCCAGATCTGGCTTATTTTGTATCCAGATCTGACTTAATTGTATCCAGAATTGGCTTATTTTGTATCCAGATCTTGCCTATTTAGTAACCAGATCTAACTTATTTTGTATCCAGATCTGGCTTATTTTATATCCAGATCTGGCCTATTTTGTATCCAGATCTGACTTATTTTGTATCCCAATCTGGCTTATTTTGTATCCAGATCTGGCTTATTTTGTATTGAGATCTGTCTTATTTTGTATCCAGATCTGGCCTATTTTGTATCCAGATCTGGCTTATTTTGTATCCAGATCTGGCTTATTTTATTAAAAAATTGGAAACCTAGAATCCACATGGTACTGTTGTTTAGTACTGTTGATTTCATTTGTAGGAAAGCATAGTTGTCATGACAGGTTCATGATACAAGAAACAGCAAAATTCACAGCCAATTCAACACCAAAAAAAAAAAAAACCAAAACAACGAAGACACACATAAGAGCAATCAAAACAGCAAATAATTTTCAAGAACAATTAAAAAGTAAACATTTACCACAGCCGCAGACATAAGAATCATATCCTGCGTGATGTGCAGCTTTGCCTTCTGAAATAGACAACATGGATGAGGGAAGAATTAACTCTTTTTTTGTACATTTTATTTTTAAGAATTAACTCTTTTTCTGTACATTTTATTCTATGAAGAGTAAACAGAAGGCATTTTGAACATATAATGCTAGATGTATATTTTATAGACCGACTGACAAGGCGAACAACATCATGCCGGCATTACTTCTTAGGACTTTACCTGGTATTCAATTAAGGCTGGTTCAACCTAAGAATTTTTTTTTAAAGTCTGGCTTCATTGGGATTAAACCCCCGCTACACCACGGCGGTTCCCATTCTACTCCGTCTGTTAGTGATCACTGCATTCTGCATAAACAAAACAATTATATTTTCTACATAGCTCAAAAACTACCTGGAAGCCACGAGAGAACAAATGCCTGAACTTTTGCCTGTTGACTTGGTGATTTATTTTCTTACTGAGGCGGGAATTTTAAAAAAATGAACCTGGACTTTAGAGCTGACAAGTTTAAAATGGCTACCAGTTACTGGAAACAAAATGCAGATGCACATTAATAACTTATCTACTCACTAAAATGACAATTTATCTAAAAAAGATATGGGCCAATATGCCTCAAATCATGGAAGAGGTCTTTTAACATGTAAAACAAACAAGAAAGATGTTGACTGCATCTGGATGTGTATTGCAAAGAAAAAAAAAATTATGTTGAGGTTCTGAGGAGAAACAATAAATTACCACACAAACATATCTTTGTCTTTCTTCTTCTGCCTTTCTAGCCCCCAATGGAGAATAGGCCCTCAACCAACTCACGCCATGTCGTTCTATCCTTTGCAGCTCTCCCCATCTTTCTAACTTCAATTTCCAACTCACTTCTCCATGTGTTTTTTTGCCTTCCACAAACATGTCATACTACACGAATAGCAATCACAATAACATTATTTCATGGAAATATGCAATCAAACAACACTAATTCTGGAAATATACAACCAAAATATACTCAAGTATTTTTAAAAAGTCAAAAACCGTAAGAATACGGGCCTGATGTTATGGTCATGGACAGCACTGTGTAAGGGAAAGCACAACCATGCTAAACAGAAACATATAAAACTGAGCAAAAAATCTGTGGATAAACAAAACAATCTTGAAATAAAAAAGGAATGAGCAGATAACAATTACATATGGAAACCTATTAACAAATATCTTGCCCATCAATTAATATAATAATTTCTAAATGCAGCTATTTTGAACTTACCCCCTGCATTCAGTTCGGCATTTGCTAATACAACTGTTGGCTGTTGCAGCATCAAACCTGTCACACGATCGCTGAAAAAGAATATGCAATTTGATGTTGGCTTTCAAAATATGCAAACGTTCAAAATAACTATTCTTCTTCATTCCTTTCTTTTCAAGAGTAGTAAAAAAAACCTAGTTATGCACCTCTCTAACTCTGAGGTCAATGAGTCCAACTTTGGCATGCATGTAAAAAAAGTTTACGTCCTCTAGACGGATTCTATTTAAAACAATGCCCTGCCTACTTGCACCTTTTCTATCTCTCTAAAATTGTAAGTGCAGTGACGGTATGGCCTACCCTGGAATTTTCAAATGCCGTAGGCTTTTAACTCTTTGAGTCCCTGAGGGTTTAGCATTACAGGCCCAAGGTGTAGTCAAAAGAGACTAAAATCAGCGCATCATGCGCTCATTGGGCTTCTAGGCAGTAACCTATGAACGTATGATGCGTTCCTTGGGACTCAAAGAGTTAATTTGCATAGCTTACACATAAGAGCTATTATTTATTACAACTAAACAGAGGCTAGATTGCTCTGCAACTCAATGAGCATACTAGAGAGCATATTAGACTAGCTGTTCACAATGTGCACATAATTTATTTTCATGTGGATCAGTTTGACGTCTGTTCAATGACAGTGGCCAGTTAACCCTCTTAGCACGGACGGGCCGATTATCGGCCGGCGGATGTCTGGCCAAAAACACGGAACGGCCGATGATCGGCCCGATCGTGTTTCGCCTCGAACCGCTAAGAAATCTCCTACTTTGAAAAACAGAAAGTGATTCATTTATATTAACTGCGGTATCAGCTTTACACATGGCGACTTTCGAGTGTTTGGTATCGAAGTGAAAATTGTTTTTGAATTTTTTAGATAGTGACCTGAACAGCTAAAAGTATGTCTGACTCGTATGTTTCTGCCCCTAAACTTGATGTTGATAAAACATTTGAATCAAGTGATGACACTAATTCTGTTGATACTGATGCAGGATTTAGTGTTAGTAGTAATAGTGGGAATCAGATGGGGACGCTGTTGTGTTCAGACCACAGCCCAACCATGGCTCAGGGTATATCCACCCGAAGGTGTTGACACTCCGGCACATCCATTTCTAGTGCTGACTGATGGTGAAAAACACATGTCACCTAAAGATATTATTGCTGTTTCACATATATATACCTGTTTTTGACTATTGAATTGCTTACAACATTTGTAAAAAGGCTAAAGATCAATAAAAAGATTTCAAATGAAAAAAATTTTTGTTTTTAGTTTTATGTTTCAAGCATTGAAGTTGAAAATTCAAATTCATATTTTCTATTTTTAGATATGCAAATGAGATCATTTGCATATACATCAATTAATTTTAACGATATTGTGAAAATTACGAACTTCAATCTATATCCTTCAAATAGATATATTATTTCATAGGGGTCAGAATAACAGAAATCTGTCAAAAAAATTAAATAAAGTAATAACCAAATTCACTGAAAAAATGCTCCGTGTTTTTGGCTAGACCTCTGAAAAACTTCCCGTGCTAAAAGGGTTAAGAAAACTCTCCATAATTTCTGAGTGGGGTTTTTTATGTGTACATGTGTCCTAATATTTGATCATTCTCCATAAAAAAAAAAGAAGACTAGTTGTCCATTGCATTATGCGGAGATCAAAGAACACCATTCCTCCACATTACTAATCCTCCTTTGAAACACTGCTGTCAGGATGAATTAGCCAGAAGAAAATGCAGATCTCACCTGTGAAGTACCTCATACAGTTCATGTAGATTTCCAGTCTTGAAAATCTCCAAGGACTTCAGAGGCTAAATAAAAAACGGAAAACACTTGTGAGTTTAGCTGGATTGGATTATGGGAAGTTGTACAAATTTAAATTATATAAATCCCCCCTCCCTTCCCCAATTGTCTACATTCCTGAGAGATGAGGCACAATTTAATAATACAATCATTATTTCAAAAATAAACTATAAGACACTAGAAACAAAATTAATAATCAGGAGAAAAGCATTTGGTCATCCAAAGAAAAAAGCATGGGGAAAAATAATTGTATAGTTTTTTTTTTTGGTGCATAAAAAAAAGTTCCCCCCCCCCCCTCGATATCCCCTGTTTCTTGACCAGATACATTGTAAATGTTATGAAGCATATCAAGAAAAGTAGACTGCAGATTGTTAGATTATGCACGTTATCCTCAAGAACCTGAGAAAAAGCTTCTCTTCTGATGCACTAGCATTAGATTCGATTTTGAACTATATTCATAAAAACTCTTGAAAAAGCTCATCTTCTGATGCACTGGAGTTTTTTCTCTTCACTTCTAATCACGTTTGTCCAACAAAATGGTGTTCTGAAGCGATTGTTACCCCAAAAATATTGCGAATTTACAAAAACTATGAGTATAAAAAAGCAAATGGAAAAGAGAATTAGAACATAAGGAGAAAAGATTGTGAACTGCATGCAATGTCAAAGGACAAGTCGACTTGGCACGAGATGGTTGACACTTTATGCTCCAGTGGGAGATAAAGAGCAGATAAAATATGAGCATCACAGAAAACAAACTGCAAGTAGTTCTCCAATACTGCATAACTGTAAGGTTATAAATAAAATAACTGTAACAGACTAATCCAGTGAACTGTACAAATCAACAATTTTGTATTTAAAGTTATGAAGCCAACTATGAAAAATTTAAAAAATTCTGAACCGTCAAAAATTAGGCTGAACCGGAAAAATTTGGTTGATAAAAATTAAAACTATTGCATACATTTATAGACCTACTGACTGATAGCAGATATGCTTGACGAAAAAGATACAGAAGGTAAACAACTCAATGCTGCAATGAAACATTTAACTATGCCAAACAGATAAAACAGAGGATCAACTGATAAAATCGTTCTAAATTTGTAATGTATGGCACAGAGGTCTAGGGCTCAAATCTGCATCAGGCTGATGTGGGGGGGGGGGGGGGAATGATTGTAACTCCCAGGTCCACCTAGGCCTTAAAAAGATAGCAGGAAATATCATGGGAGGTAAAGGCAGCTGACACAATGTTGACAAATCACCAATCAAGTGCCGAATGGTCTACAAAATTATGTCTAGGGTCATACATCTGATGCACTATTAGCAAGAAACATGTTCTTCCATTTACTTAATTATAAAGTATGGGGAGAGTACTCCGATGCAGATACTCACCTTTCTAAGGCAGTGGTTGATATGTTTTGTATCAAAAATTGTGGGGAATAAAGCATGAATATCTTCCTTGAATAACCTGTAATTATCTGTTTGGGGAGATAAAGAACAATTATAATATGATTTCAAGAAGCAGCATCACTAAATTACAAATAATTTATATTATTTTACATGTTCCTGCTAAATCAATTGAAAAAATCACATTCAACTTAGCTCAGTTATATTATGGTTCATTATAATTCAGGTAATTTATTAGATGGCAGATAGCATAGCATGAGAGTAACCTAACAATTTCAGCCAAATTAGTCCAGCTTTTGAATCAAATTAAGAAATGCTTACTTCAAGAAAGGGAGCTGCCCTGATCTAGCTAGACGCTCGCCTGCCGATCGGAAGGTCGTGGGTTAGGTTTGTGACAGGGCTGGACTTTTTTCAAAAATGACCTTGACTTTAAGTCAACCCAGCCTTGAGTGGGTACCAGGTACAGTTATGGGAAGTAGAGGCGGCCACATCACCCACCAAGTGCCGTTTGGTCTATAAAATAAAGGTCTAGCCCTATATACCCAGTACACTGAAGGCTTGGAGAAGAGTCCTTTAATTTTTATACTTCAAGAAAATATCCTCATCATCTTTGTGTGCCATTAGAGGTCACATAGGGCTCATATTCGATTCCTCCACTCCGCTTTATTGCATGCAAGTCTCTCGATTTCTGACATGGAGTTCAGCCCATCATTTGTAGCCTCTCGTAATAATATTCTTCTTAATGTTTCCCTTGTTCGTTCTCTCTTTCTCAGACTGTTTGTTTACCATTTCAGTGCTTGTTTTGTAATTCTTTGCTCGTTCTGTCTCAGAGTGTGCCCAATATATCTCCACCTTCTTTGTCTTATTGCAGTCGATACAGGTATTTGTCCAGATATTTCTCTGATCTTCTCACTCTTTTTGAATTCTTCCCATTTTATGTTCATGATTTTTCTCAGACATTTATTTTCAAAGGCATTTAGTTTTTGTTCCATATCTTTGGTGATTCTTCAACTTTTGCTGGCATATATTAGAACTGCAATAGCATAAGAAGTGAAGATTCGTAGCTTTGTCTTAAAGCTGTATAAGTTGGAGCTCCGTATTTTGTTAAGGCTTTTAAAGACTGTTGTTGGTTTGCCAATGTGTATGATAATTTCATTCGTCGTATCATCAAGAAAATATGGAGTTTAAAAAAACACACACATAAACTGTAAGAATATGATTTAGGATAGCTTGAGAAGCATATTAAAACAATTTTGGAGTCAATCAATCAATAAGTGTGAGAATGTCCTTTATAGAATGCCACTTTCTTCGCTACATGCCTGAAAGTCTCTTTTCTCTTGGCAATTCTCCAGCCTTGTGTGCTTTCATGGCCAATGCATCATCAATGCCCTGTACCTATCTTCACAGGAGTCGGCTTCTGCTGCACCCTCCAACATCATTCTCTAGATCCCCACGGCACTTGACATGGCCAAAATACCTCAGCTTTTGGGACAGCTTGATGTTTATGAGCAAATTCTCTTCAATGCCTGAATCAGGTAGGATGTCTATGTTTTTCTTCTTCTTGGTCCATGGTATTCTAAGAATTTTTCTGTAGCATTTCGGTTCAAAAGCTAAGATTTTTGCATTCAGTAGTATTTCTGTAGTCGGCTCTGTGGCTAAGTCGATGCGAACGCTTCACTTCGTAATGTCGGGATGCCAGGTTCGATCCCAGCTGCGAGCAATGCGCCTTGCGTTGGTTTCGACAGTGGTATCAAGAAAGCCGACCATCCAGAAAGCAATGGCAAACTACTGGATGTAGATTGCCTAGAGAAACCACACAACAGCCAGGGGTTGTTAGGGTTGGTTCTGCAACGTCCTGTAAAGGATACGCAACTAACTAGTATTTCTGTTGTCATTTGCTGCTGCTTGTGCTAGCTCTACCATTGTTCTCTTTCCCAACTGCCTGGCATAGGAACTTCACCATAAGATCTTTGAGATTCATTTTAGGCTTCCATTTACAGTTTCTAGTGATATATAATGTGGTAGTCTTCCCTTGCATTCCACATCCACAAGGTTGAGCATCTCAACCTTCAGAAATGTTTTAGATTGCCAGGTTAAGTGAGTACCCTGCTCTGCGATGCCATTGCTAACAGCAGATAGCACTACAGAAGTGTTTGCTTATCCCAGCAAGTACTCGGTCTCCAAGACTGAGCTAGCCGCAATGAAGTGCGATTCCATCCTCCACCTCAAGGAGGTGAGTAAGGATTATCTTCTTCGAAATGTGAGGCCAGACTTTTAGAGTCAGAACATGAAAAATGTGGTAAAACATAAAAATTTATAGCATGTAAACATTTGGTTGTGGAAGCTAAGGGGAAAAACCCACATTAACTTAACAAGAATAAGACCAAATTTACAGTCAGAAAGAGAAATTCACAGTGAAGTCTGTCACACACAGACGCGAATGACATGAAAACATGATATCTATCTGCACACTGAACAACTTGACAATAAAACACTACATCTATCTACAGACTGAACAACTTCCTCTACCAAAGCTTTCACTGCTGCACCAACTACTATAAATCACAGCATTGTTTTGTCAGTGTGATAATCATCACAAAGTACTGTTTGTATTAGTGTGGTATGGGTATCCATTCCTCTCCACAGTTTATGTCTTGAAAGGAAATCACCCGTTGAAGTATTGTCTCTGCATGGCCCAACACAGACTGGCCTCATTTGTCTACTGCCTCTACGTGTATTCAGTTCATCATGCAGTGGGTATGTACAGATTCCAGTGGTTTTGAGGAAGGCCAAGCTTGGCACAGTTCAAGCCTGATGTTTATATCTGGAAGATCAAGTATGTATCTCACTGCTCTACTGCACAGCCTCACAGAAAATGTTATATGTAACTGTAGACTGAACAACTTGACGAGAAAACTTTATCTGCAGATTCCACATCTTGACAAGAAAACTTTATCTGCAGACTGAAAAACTGATCAAGAAAAGATTATAACTGTAGACTGAACAATTCGGCAAGAACAAATTAGACCTACGTATAGACCTTACAATGTGAACAGAAAATGTTATATTTATCTACAAACTGAACAACTTGACAAAACTAACAAAACTAACCTGGAAGTGGCAGATGAAATTTCTCATACATAAACATCAAGTCCATCAATAAGTTGTGACCAACGATTGGCTGTACAAATAAAATAAAAACAGATGAAGGTTAGAATGCATGGAGGCAGACATAATTTTCTAGAATTATAAAGAGTAAAGTAAATTACACTTTTTAAGCCAGTGCACATAGGCATACAATGTTACTCATATTTTTATAGATCAATCAGCGTCTGGTGGGTGATGGCCTCAACATCAAGCTGGTCACCTTTACTTCCTACAATATTACCTTTCACCAATTTTTTGCTGGGTCGACCTTGGAACCAAGGTTAATTTAAAAAATCTAAATGAAGATTTAAACTCAAGACCATCAGACCAGCAGGCGTGCATCTAGCCTCTATAGTAATGTTACTCATATTTTTATAGATCAATCAGCATCTGGTGGGTGATGGCCTCAACATCAAGCTGGTCACCTTTACTTCCTACAATATTACCTTTCACCAATTTTTTGCTGGGTCGACCTTGGAACCAAGGTTAATTTTAAAAATCTAAATGAAGATTTAAACTCAAGACCATCAGACCTGCAGGCGTGCATCTAGCCTCTATAGTAATGTTACTCATATTTTTATAGATCAATCAGCATCTGGTGGGTGATGGCCTCAACATCAAGCTGGTCACCTTTACTTCCTTCAATATTACCTTTCACCAATTTTTTGCTGGGTCGACCTTGGAACCAAGGTTAATTTTTAAAATCTAAATGAAGATTTAAACTCAAGACCATCAGACCAGCAGGCGCGCATCTAGCCTCTACAGTAATGTGAACCCTAGAATTGTAAACACAAAACATAAAACATTAAATGAGCACTGGATAGTATATAAAATCTTGGCAATCTACTCACTTTTCTAGCACGCTGAAGCAGACGGAATACTCTGGTAAATCCAAGCATTTCAGTTATATGCCTGCAAGAGAAAAAAAAAGAGATAAACCATAAAATCACTGTTAGGTGATAAGGACATACAAACAATGTTGTCAAGCCTAGTACAAACTGAAAAATTTTCATTATTAAATTGGGGGCTGCGTGGTCTTGAGGTATGGTGTACACCTCGAGCGCTAAGGGTTCTGGGTTCAATCCCTGGTAAGGGTTAGGATTTTTTCACGTGGACTTGGACTTCTAGTAATTCCCCCTGGTCTCAGGGTAGTGAGATAGGACGCCTGTGTGCATTGTTGCGCACGTAAAAAAATCCCTTGGCAGTTGAAAATTGAAAAGAGTAGCCTAATGGTGCTGCCCAAGCAAATTTTGAGTTAAAAATCTACCCAAAGTATTTCAGGGTTCTTGCCAGTGCTACAGAGCCTGTTCACTGCGCTGAGCTTCTTCGGACTCAGACTTGAGTTAGAAGTAGAACGGAGCACTCATGGGTTACTACCCCTGTGCCATGAAGTTGATCCGTTGTTCAAAACCTCATTATTAAAATTTTTAATCTGAAAGAAAGGTAGTCAATAATATAAATAGATAATTTCTTCTTCTTCATATTCACTGGATGTAAACTTCGGCATAAAGTTCTGGTTGTTCAATCTCTTTTGGACTTTAGTTTTGTTTTAGAACTTGAGTTTTGGGTGCATATCCCGCATTAAGATCTGGCTTGTTTGTGTGCAGACTTTTGGGTCCCCACCTCTCAGACAAGTGTACTACAATTCTGAATGACACAACCCTAATCAGTCGACTTTAAGACATGCTTGTTGGGGCAGTGGGTCTATTCACCCCCCCAATGGGGCTCCATTTGGGATGCACGGATATGGTTTGTGTTTTTAAATGGCATGTGCGCAGGTGCAGGCATATACACAATTCTAAATGAGAAGAAGTAATCTCACAGCAGCGCCATCACTAGGGAACTGTATAAAGGGCTGGAACCATTGCTACTGAATATCTCCACGTCTCTTCCATATTTAAGGAGCAATATCACAGTGTCTAGATGCTTGCTGGGAGTCGCAGTGGCAGAGTGGCTAGACGCTCGCCATGGATTGGAAGGTGGTGGGTTCGCTCCCTGGCGTAGCTGGACTTTTTTCAAAAATAACCTTGGCTCCCAGGTTGACCCAGCTTGAGCGGGTACCGGGTGCAGTCCCAGGAAATAAAGGCGGCTGGCATGATGCTGACCACATTGCCTATATTGTGCTGATTGGTCTATACAATATAGGTCTAGCCCTATATGTCCTATACGCCTTAAGGCGTGGAAAAAGGCCCTTTACTTTACAAGATGCTTGCCAGGTGGCCGAAAGGTCTAGGATTCAAATCGGAATTGAGGTTTTTTTTTTATAACTGACCTTGGCTTCCAGATCAGCCCAGCCTAAAATGGGTACCAGGTAATGTCCTGGGGAGTAAAGGTAGCCAGCTTGGTGCTGACTACATTAACCAACAATAGTGGATTGGTCTAAAAAATATAGGTGTAGCTTTATATACCCGATGAGCCAAATGTGTGAAAGAGTCCTTTACTTTAGATACTACTCTTCCATTTCCCCTTTCGTTAATTGGAGAAATGTGGAGAACTAAATACATGGAATGACAGTTAAATGCATTTGAAAACAAATGCCTGAAGTTTTAAGGTTGAAGTTTCAACAACAGACAACATCATGGCACATGGGCAGTAACCCATTAGAGCTCCGTTCTACTTCTAACTCAAGTCTGAGTCCAAAGTAGTCCAGCGCAGTGCACAGGCTCTGTAGCACCGGCAAGGATCTTGAAATATTTTGGGTAGATTTTTAACTCCAAACTTTGCCCGGGCAGTGTTGTTAGGCTACTCTTTTTGATTTCCAACTGCCAAAGGATTTTTTATGTGCGTATTAATACACACGGGCGTTCGATCTCACTACTTAAAGACCAGGGAAAATTACTAAAGTCCACACGGACAGAAAAAAAAATCCCAGCCCTCACCATGGCCTGAACCTGGGATCTCTGTCACTTAAGGTGGACACCATACCCCGAGACCACGCAGCCCCCATGCCTAAAGAAACTGATGAGCATTAAATCTAAGAATGCCAGGAAAAACGAAGAAATAAGAGAAATGTATGCGCCGCTGAGGATTTCAAATTTTTTTGCAGAAAACTTATTTTTTTTTGCAGAAAACTATAATTGCATCATCCTTTGTTTTCTATAGTCTTTGGGGGAAAAAAAATGGGCCATAGATAATTCCAATATGTTTGGATGACTTTTAAGCTGGTTGCTTTAACTATATTATAAAGACATAACTTGTTACATCAATTAATTCATATCTAGGCATAACGGATAGAAAAGTGTGTTTTTGATACGCTCAACCAATCACAGAAAATTATTGTTATTAATACATAAGACAAATACTACAAGTTTAAACAATATGGAAAAAATACAATGCACAGTTTACTACCTCTCATATTTCAATGTATCTCATCTCGTCAACTGCATTATTACAAAGTTTAATTAACATATAATGAAGCACAAAAATTACCCCTTTTCACTAAAATACACAAACTGAATACATATTGAATAAATATTTGCTGAAAATGGCTGAAGCTGTAACAATTAAAAATGAACTCTTCCGCTTTATGTAAACAAAAATAACACGAGATAAATTTGAAATTACCATGGTAATCCCTTCATTAATCTTGAATTTCTGAGAGATGTAGAGTGTAACTTAACAAGGTGATATGTGTATCTGAATGTAGACTGACAAGATACAGTGAAATACGCCAGATAATAAATTGTGCAATGTATTGTATGCAACAGCATTATTTAAATTTACAACAAGACAACAATGTTTTTAAATAGTACAAGAACAGACACAAGAACTAAACATTATAAACATAATTAATGAAGGCAGTCCAACATGTGAGCCAAACAGGGGCCATCACTGACAGCAGAAGTATGTGTCCAGGCTGATATACTGAAGGCTCTACAAATTGTCAAATGCTTATGAAATCGAGTGAAAACTGAATCTGCAACAACAACAAAAGGATATCAAAAGGGTGAGGCTGGACATGAGAGCTATATTGAGGAAGGCAGAAACAAAAAACAGAGAACTGGTGTCATCAGTTGCTACATGCTGGGGGATTTACTGAGGGGACTAGAGCATGTAACAACTGAATGGTTCAACGTGCAGTTTGGGTGATCAGTTGACTAGCTAACTAACTAACAAGTATGTGTCTTCAACTTACAGTTGAAGCTGTTGTGATTCAAATTCCTTGCTCTGTTTTTCAAGTAGAATTCTCCTCACATGATCTACTTTCTCCACAACAAGCTGCAAATTATAATAAAATAAAATTATACTTGTATCATCTGTGTGTGTGCATGAATTTATCCATCCACCCACATATACCCTATGTATGGACACTGTGAGAGGGGAGAGAAAGAGGGAGGGAGCTAAGAGAAAGGGAGGGCTGGAAAAGATAATGAGGGATGGATGTAAAAGAGAATGAGGAAGTGACAGAAAGAAGTGGATAGAAAGGTAAATTAATAAAAATAAACATTATAGAAACAATGCACAAATGTGAGAACAAGATCATCAAAACTGTACACTTCTTTAAAATAAAAATTATCCTGTAGACTGAAAAAGAGAATAAACAACAAGATAAATCAAAGGCACGAACATGTACAATAAATGAAATAAGAAATGGTCGAAACATAATAGGTACTCTTCTGTCACATTTCATTTCCACATCCTTTTTTATTACAATATGTTTGAAGATTAATCTGAGTCACTTCTTCTTCTGCTTTCCATCTCCAATGTGACATAGGCACTGAACCAACTCGTGCCAAGTCGTTCTATCCACCGCTATTGTATGCAGTTCTATCCATGTCCTTCCCATCTTTTAAACTTCACTCTCTACTCCCTTCTTCATGTGTTTTTTGGTCTTCCTTTATGTCTTTCATCTAACTTTCATTAATTCCTTCAGTCCCAGAAGGTCACAGCTGACGACCGAGGGAGACAATAAACACAACGCCTAACTCATAGGTGTACTTCATGAACAGAAGCCAAGAGTACACCTCTTGTCATCACTAATTTCCAATTCCAGGTCTTTCTCTTCTATGTCTTCCTTTAAACAGAAGACAAAAAGGTTAGATGAAATCACAGTGTAAGTATGTGTGAACAAAGACTTAGGAGTGGATCCAGCAAAGTCGGG